CTCCTCTAGCCCCCCCAAAGCAGTCATTTCATTGTAGAAGGCCAGTGGATTGGTCAAGCATGAGTCTGAACTCTTGAGGTTCAGTGTTCTGATCCTGCTTTATTCCCTTCTCTCAAGATCCTAGACTCTGCCACCTCATGGTGACTACACACCAGGCAGAACTTCATGTACCCCTGCTGCTATCTCGCACAAAATGACAGCTCTTTTCCCCATTGTCGTGGCCCATCCTTACTAAACAGCCTGTATCTGCCCAGAACTATTCCTCCACATCATTGTGTTCCCAAAGACTGCAGCTCAGCGCTCTAGGGCTCTAATGCCTCTTTTTTTGTTCCCTATGAGTGTGCATCAGTGAACAGGCACTTCAGAGCACCTAGTCAGGCTTACTTTCACAAAGAACTCTGAGAGTATCTTCAATACTGTTAATCGGTAATGTGTAAAATACTGTGGCAAATGAACTGCTGAAGAGACCAAAACCTTTCCAACATGCTAATTCAGTGCACATCCCATTATAAACTCTTTGTAGCACTGTTAATGCTTCCATGCTTAATTTATACCAGTGAATTGAACCACCTATTCTTTCTTCTAGTGTAGAATTAAACAACTGAATGACATTTTCAAAAGCTCTATGCGCCTGTACCTTCCAAGGCTTTCAGTTACGCTTGCAAATGCTGAGTGCATCTGAGAATCACCAGCTTGCTTTGTTTTCAGATATACCGACATGCAGGATGCTGCAAATGTAACTAAGCTGCTCTTTTTAGATGCACATCAGTTAATTTATCTCCTCTCTCTGTCAGAGAAGAGTGAACAGGAAGGCCACAATGTTACATGTGAAATGCTTTCAGGGATATAGCACATATTTAAAAAGTGCTTATCTCCATCATCCAATTCATTTTGGTTGTTATCTGAGCCTGACACTCCTCTTATGAAATCTAAACTAAGTCAAATATGAGCAGAGTTCAAATTTTAATAAGGGTTTTGGATATATTCAACTTTTCAGTAATGGCAACAGCTTTTCAAAATGAAATCCTTTTACAAATCTTTCCCTGAAGGAAAAGTGTGAGACATTCTTTGCATCCTAGCAAATAACTTCTAACTTGTGCTAGAAAGATTCCTGAAAGATGGGACTTTTATATCACAGAAACTTTTAAAGGTACATGACAGAGATAAAGAATTCTCTACCCTCTGAAAACATTTTTGTTATGGGACCTGGTCCTATAAGGGTACTACATGAAAAAAGGCCTAATCTTACTGGGCCATCTTGTTTTATAGCTTTTTTTTTTTTTTTTTTTTTTTTTTTTAACAAAGCTAAGTAAAGACACAGAAACTGCTCTTAATTTGGGAATTTTAATGATCTCCCTCCTGAGGGGAAGAGCATCAAGAGTGTACCTAACAACTGTAATGGAGACTCATCCTAGTGACTTCATTGGGATTTTCAGGCGCAATTCTCTTTCCAGCTAACCAGCTGAGGTCTTACCACTGACATAAAAGCATAATGGGATTCTTGGAGTGTAGGCAGAATTTACCTGCCTGTTTATTAGAAAAATTAGCATGTTTGAGCAAGAGGTTAATAAGTTTCTTATTTCCTTCTAAAAGTGAAGTTGTAATACTGTATCTGTGACTAAAATAACAGCTGTACACCTCTTGAGAACGTCTTTATAATAATAGCTGTACACCTCATGAGAATGTCTTTATTAAGCACAAATATCTTGCTAAGAGTGAAATGCAACATAGCATTCGTTAAATTAGCACCTGTAGTATAAACACACCTTTATCTTCAAACATGATTCAGCTTAATAGCTTCAATAGCTTGTGTCCAAATTGGAGCCTATGTTCTTGCTGATTTTAGCAAGATGCTCTGAGTGTTGAGATATAAAGTATCTAAGAATCTGAGAGTGTAAGTATCTGAGGTCATGGTAAAGTTATATTGTGTTTATTTTGTCAGATTTTTAAAATCTGAATGCCATCCTGTTTTCTGCTTTGGTTTAATGTTGGTTTAGTTCTTCCCACATTCTTTTGGCATGAACATAGTTAAGTGCATGATGGCATGTATATTTTTAAAACAATGTAATTTATTGGTACTGTATTATGTTTTATTGTTGAACAACCTCCCCCAACATATGCAGTGCCCAATATTAATGCAGTTTATTTTGTAACAACTATATTGGTGCTTTCATACTTGCTATATGCCCATTAGTCTAATATAATTAGTTGATCAAACACCATCCATCTTTCATTAACTTCTGTTAGAACAAAATTCTGGCTAATAGCAGACAACTTAAAGAAGCAGCACTATGCTGCTCCAGTTTCTATAAGGCTTCATTATTCTTCGAGCAGGCAGGCAGCTGCCTAAATGTTAGCTGCATGCAGAAACAGCATGGAGACCCATGTATTAGAAAATGTATCGCCTTGGTTGCTGAAAATACTGTAGGATGTAGGATTTTGATTAGCTAGTCTGAATATCCATCTTCATTGCATGCAGTTTTACTGCATATGCCAAAAGAATCCTAACTTTTTTCTCTAATGCTTAATCCCTCCTTAACATCTCACTAAAATGACTGAACTTACAATATAAGTAGAAGCAATGATTCATCCCAAACTAATGTCTTCTGTATTGAAGGTTTAAAAATATTTCTTGCATTATATTTGCACATAATACACCTAACTCTTGTAAGTGAAACTACTTAGTATTGCACTGCTAGATACATCTGAAAGCATTTTGTCATAGAGCCATGCTAATAACAGGGATTCGAAAATTCTGTCCTTCATGTACTTTCTATTAAATTCCTACTAAGATGTGAAGCAACCTGGGTGCTTTTTGGTGGGTCTGATTTTTTCAGCAAGAGCAAGACGCTTGTTACAGATCAAGTTTACAATTTGCAAAGCGTTGCTATGACCAGGCAAGCTCTCCTGAAGATAGCAGTGGAGCACGGGCATCAGTGAACCTCTCACTTAGGCCTGTTCCCAAGTGCCATCTCCTGCGGCACATCGGGCTTTACTGTACTTTCACCACCCCACTGCAGCCAGCTCTGTCCACCACGCCAGCTGCATCGCTGGGCTCTGCAGTGTCTGCAGGGTACCAGTTTCTTTCCCTACTTCTTTACCTGTGCAAATTCTTCATGCAAAATAACTTTCGCTCTTGGCTTGTTTTGACTCTTTTGTTTGCAACAACATCCTTTCCAGATGTTGTTACAAACAAGGGCTGCATTAGGAGGAAACTCACGTTACAGTATAGCAGTATGGGTCAACATGCCAAACGGTTCCACCCCGAATAGTTCTGCCCCGCTCAGCAGCCAGGCTGAGGGGCAACGCCGCACCCTGCAGCAGCGGCTAACACGTACTACATCTCGCTGCGCTCCTGTGGGTGTAATACGGCACAGACACGACTTACTCCCAGCCCTCTGCGGTGCTCTCCCGGAGGCTCGCCACCTTTGGCCCAAGCGCCCCTCAAGCCTCAGCACCGCGGCTACTGATTGCCTCACACGGTCCCACGACCGGCGAGAGAGAACACTCCCCCGCTCTCAACGACACACACAGCACGACCACCCCCACTCCAGCCTCTCGCGATAAGGCCAGCAAACCTCGCGATACTCCCTGCTCCCCGCCCTTCACCGCGGGCTCCTTTAAGAAGGAAGTCCCGCCACACCGCTCTTCTCGCGATAGCTCCCTTTCTCCAGTAGTCTGCAGACGCACCTGTGGCCGGATGCGGTGAGGGTTTCTCTTGGTGACGGGTGCCGGACTGTGCCCGCAACCCGGCAGGGCAAGGGGTGCAGTGAGGCTGCCCGGCCCTTGTTGGAGTCGGCAGGGGGGTGAGCGTCCTTCCCTTCCCTGGCATGGTGTGAGGTGCCTGCCGGGTGACTGCTTTGCCCGTGCTCTCCGGTGTGGTGGTGCCCGGCGAGGCCGGCCCGTGTTCCCGTCCTGCTGCTGTAGGCCGCTAGGGCGGCGTTCCGGCAGGCTTAGGATCTGCGCTCGCCCCCTGGTTGCTTTCGGCTAGGCAAGGGTGTTGCACGGCCAAAGGTTAAAGTGAGTGTTGGTGTCCCAGGTAAGCATGTTCGTGTTATTTTCCCAGAGCGATGTGCAGGCACCTTTGCTCAGGTGAAAAAACAGGTGTGGTAGTTAGAAGGTGCTTCCCTCTACGGCGGGCCCGTGGGATCGGGTAGTGCCCAGGACACACATCTTGGTACTGTGGTGCTGTGAGGTCTCGCTAACGGCAGACCTAAGGTGCTGGAGTGTGCCCATGTATATGTTTTAGAAATAGTAAGGGAGAAAATGCTCTTAAAATTGGATCTGTTAACCAGCGGCATACATTTTGAGTTTGGTTCTTGGGACAAGTGGATGCGTGGTTGTGTGAACTCATGACATCCTGCTTTGTCATCTTTTGGAGGAGAACGTTTTTGAGTTTTTTTTAGACTGATTATCAACTTCGTAGTTAAGCTTTACAATTGAAGTATGGCAATGCTTTTGCTTTACAGTATCCTTGAATTTTGCTGTGACAAGTAATTTACTGGAGTGTACAAAACTCCGTTTGTGATCTACATTCAGTGATCAGTCCTCAAAAATTATAAAGCAGTCATGATAGTTTTAACTTTTTTTTTTTTTTTTTTGTGAAGGAGTAACTGTTGAAAGGAGCTAGTGTGTGACAGTAGGTTCATGAAGAGCAAGTCCTTCTTGACCAGCGTGGTCTCCTCCAACAAGGTGACCCACCTGGTTGAAGAGGGAAAGGCTGTAGACATTTAATAAGGTCTGTTAAGACATTTAATAAGGTCTGTTTGGACCTTTTTAAAGCATTTGACACTTTCTCACACAGTGTTCTGGAGAAACTGGCTGCCCCTGGGGTAAAGATTGGACTTGATGGTACTAAAGGTCATTTCCAACCTACCTGATTCTATGACTGTGATTTAATACTCATAGTAAATATGTAATAGCACTTTTTTTTTTCAACAGCGATGAGTAGAGGCTGACATATTAACTTCCTTTGTTGATGATATGTGTACTGTATCGATGTTAGAAAGACATACCAGATGATCTTCTGCATTTTTAAATGTAGTACCCTACAGATATAGTTTTGGTTCGTAACCCAAGAAATTAGTGAATCAATCTGGTTGAAGTAGTAATTCTTGCTTTGGCTTGTGCAGCATTATTTTCTGGAGTTTTGTAGCAATGGTGTCGTTACTACCATTGCATTTATTTTCTTTCCCTTTTTCTTATTCTGTGCCTTGTTTCTCACAAGGTTTGGGATTTGGTAGCACTGAAGCATGCAATTTATTCCACTTTGCACCTGGTATTCCAGTTCTGACGAGTTATGTGCAGCTTATTAAACTCAAGAAAATGCTTAGTTAAAGACAAAGGTGCTGCCATTTGAAATCCTGGTTTTAACTTGAGAGTCTTTACTGTCCCATGTTGCTTCAGGTATTACTGTAAAAGAAAGTAATTATGGAAACGCTGTCTTATTTTAAACTTTGTTTTGCATATTTAACAGTGTGTTCTTTTGTTTTTTCAGTATTGCTTCTTGTTTTTCAGAAATTGCTCAAAGACTTAGATGCTACTGGGAGAAGTTCGTGTGCACATTTTTTGCATTGATTTGAGCATGTGTGATGCACAGTACAGATGCCTTAAATTTTAAGAGGTTGGATATGTATGATATGTTGGATATACTGTTTCTTCTTCACCCTTTGCCACAAAAAGATACGTTTGAGCTTCGAGTCTCTGAGAAAACCATTGAGAATGGCCGAAGGTATGGGGTAGTTTATATACTGATCGCAGGGTGTGGGGCTGAACTTCTCAAGTGAGGGTGATGGGAGGCATTATGAAAGAAACCTTCAAATAATGAGTCTAATTGAAAGGTTGTAGTTATAATCTTGTTAGTATAAGAACCAGGCCATCAGTATAGGTTGTGGGATGCAAGTTCATAGCAGGCAAAAGCTTGACAGTGCTAAAGAGCATACTTGTAAAATTTGTAGTCATAAGACCCCAAATGCAAGGAATCTGCATGTGGTAAAGAGGAAATGGAGCTACTTGAAAGAGAGGAGTGCATTGGGGTTTGCTACATGCACAAGCTATACCTAGCCCAGGGTGTCTGTGTGGCTAAAGAATACTTTAAGGCCAAAGTATTTTAGAAGAGAATTGCCCATTCTTTTATTTTACTATTTTATTTTTACTATTATATGGACGTCAGCTTATGACCACTGGAGTGGTTTGTTTTCTTTAGCATATACAATTTAATTAAATTTTTTAAATGAGTAGTTATCACTGATCTCGTACATTGTAGAGAATAATCCTGTAAGTGTACACTTCCAGGACCTCAGGAACTGGTGAGAAGATCCTGTCTTCATGAAATTTTTTTTTGCACTGACACAGAAAAATGGGGGAAGGTGGAATTTCTTGCCTTCAGGACTTCCCGTTTTATTTTTCTTCCCTCTGGAAAGTAGCTGGGTTGAGAAGTCCAGAAACAGTGGACTACCACTGGTCATAGGTATGAAGTACAAATACGTGCTTTGATGTAAGATTCTGTCTGACTTGGTTGCTTCCATAAAAAGCTGAGGTACCTCTCACTGCTACTGATAATGACTTTCTCAGAAGTAGCAGGGCTTATTCCAACAAATAGATAAGAAACAATAAAAGTCCTAAAATTAATTACATGTCCCTTTCTTTGTTTTGGGGTGGCAGAGCTGGGGAAGTTGGAAACTGTTTTCACAAATTTGGAAGGATGAGAATTCCTCAGTTCAGATTTGGAAAACTGTACAACTGTTACTTACAAGGTCTTTCTCTTTTTACTATGAAGAGTGATGGCCTTGTTTTTTCTGATAGAGGTATTTTGTTGGGTTTTTCAATGTGGTTTATTTGAACTCTGATACACTGCTGTTCTTATCTTCCCTATTCTTTGTTGGAAGCATGCATGTACTTATTGATACAGAACCTGCTTGACTTAAATACAGATGAGAAGAAATAATACGGGCCATACAGGGGAAATGTAAGATGGGATGTATATTACTACAGTATTCTTTTTAGAGATGACGAGGCCTTGGGTGATATGGTTTAGAGAGAGGTGTCCCTGCCCATGGCAGGGGGGTTGGAACTTGATGATCTTAAGGTCCTTTCCAACCCTAACCATTCTATGATTCTATGATTCTTTAAAAAAAATTGTCTTTGCACATTAAATGTAAAAATGAGATAGCTGAAAATGAAGCAGGTCAGTCATCTGTGGTGTTGATATGCTGTAATAAGGCTGTAGTGAGACCACTTAGAGGAGGGGATTTTAACAGTTCCAGACTTGACAGCTGTAGGCAGTTAGTTCATGAGTAATTAGCCACTTTGAACAATATAGGCAAATGATGCACTTAAAGTACACTTCTGTTGTTTCCAAGCATGTTTGTTTGTTTGTTTTTACCTGTTCCAGACTGTGTTGTGAGAAAGGTGATGTTCTTCTTTGTGATTATAATCATGAAACAATTTACTAACACTGCAGTAGTGAATTCTGGTAGATCCGAAGTGTCTAATAAGGAAGGTCCCACGGTCTTTTAATTGGACACTTAAACCTGCAGGCATCAGTATTTGCAAATATGAAGCCACTATGTAACAACTTAATGTATCAGAATTTTGCTTTTACATCAGATTTTTTTCATACACGCTTCCAGATATTTGTAACATAGCAGTGTTTCAGCAAACTATAATTTTATGTCTACCTCAGGATTTAGTTATAAACAATAACAGGTATCCTGATTCTAGTGCTATTTCAATAAATTCTTCTATCGTAAGTTCTATGCATTTTGTGAAATAAATTTATAGCCAATGTTTTATTAATGTGACATAATGAAATGCTTTGTATGTCTGGCCAGTTTATCACTCTGTGTCTTTGTGTTTTTTTGTAGATAATTGGCATATTGGGGAGAAGTGCCTTGCCCCTTGTCTTGAAGATGGGAAACTTCATGAAGGAACAATATCTTCTATTGAAAAGGACAAGAATGGAAAATCATTTGCTGTTGTATCATTCTCAGAGTCTGAAGAAAGGAAAATACTAATAACTAAACTTTGTAGAGTCAAAGACAGAAGAGGGCCCTGGAAAAGCTTAATATTTGATGATGGTGATCTGGAAAAGCCTTATTTTCCTGACCAGAATCTTCCGTCTCCTGCAGTTGCTTTTAAATTATCTGACAATGGTGATTTTATTCCATATACAATTAACAGATACCTGCGTGATTATCAAAGGGAGGGAGTCCAGTTTCTGTATGGACATTATGCTAATAAAAGGGGGTGTATTCTTGGAGATGATATGGGCCTTGGAAAGACAATACAGGTATTCTTTAAATTTTTTTGGCAATGTATCTTCTATGAGGTTTTAATCTTTTTAAAAGTAACTTATTTAAGAAAAGCCATGTCAGTGAGCTTAACCTCCCTTTGCTGTTGTGGAGTTGGAGGTGGCAGGATGTGACTGTCCAGGACAGCACTTAGGGCCAGGAGCCACTGCTGTTTTAAGATTCACTCCTGACAAGCGTCAAAACTGAGCTGTGTCCCCTTTTGGTGGAAGCGTGGATAATTATGGTGGTTAAAATGTTAGTATTCATTTTATGTTGAATTTACCTGGAGGATTACTTGTACATCGTGAAAACAATCTGCACTGGAGTGTGCTAAAAGAACTTACAGCTCTTATCAGACTGTTCTTTCAATATGTTTTTTTTTTTCCTGAAAACAAACAGTTCAGCTGTACTGGGAATGAATAGGAGCAGCCACATTTACTCCCATTTCTGGAAAAAGTGCTTAGATGTTCTATATTTTATTACTCTTTTGGAAATACAACTTTGGTTGATGAAAAGACAAAGTATAGCAGGATTTTTCCATTATGCTTTGGATCAGTCTGGCCCAAATGATTTATTTATTTTACTAAAATTAGGGTGATTTTACATTTGAGAATTCCCATTATTCTTTCCCGTTTTAAGCTAGCAGCTTGAATCCTATGGTGGCTAGTGTTTGTCCCCATCTCTTTTCTCCCTCTCTGTGTCAGATGCAAGATCATTCCTTCATTGACAAATACAGGCTGTAGCTTCTGTTGTCTTTCACCCTTCCATTCAGGACGATGGCAGACACCCTTCAGTGCAAAGAAGTATTATTCTGTAGCAAGCTTGGCAAAAGGAGTGAGTAAATTAAACTGGGAAAACCTCTCTGGATAGAGCATTTAGAGGTCCCTCACAAATTTGTGTAGCTGCTGCTGTTGACACGTTTATTGAAACTAAACTTCATCCATTTACCTTGTGTTTTACTAAGCTTAACCATGTTTCTTGTCCATGGCACTTTAAGAACTCTGTACTTACAGAAGTTTGTTACTACTCAGAACTGCAAATAATCCAATTTCACGTAGCAGGAAGCATCTATATAAGACAGTAAACTGGACAGGAGGAAATGAGTTGTCTTGCTTGCAATGCATGTATTTGTACCTCAGAGCTGATTCTGTAGTGACTCGGTCACATTTGTCACACAGTGACAGTGTGTTCCTGTGTGGAATTAAGATCTCGTGGTTATTTCTTTTCCTCATAGTGTCAAGTTTTGAAGAGTATCTTGTATATTTCTTATAAAACACAGCATTTATGTTCAGGTTCAGTAGGGGTAAGGCAGTCCAGTGGATATGAAGTAAAAGAGGATTTCACGTAGTTAAAAAAGAAGTGTCAGTTAAACTTCAAGTAATTATTTAGTCTTACAGAAAACTTATGTTTGTCAGTTGCATAAGCCTTATTGTTTCTGAATTATAGGGTGATTTATGACATAAAGGGTGTTCTACACAACTTCTACATTTTAATACTCTTTGTACTTCTGAACTGATTTTTGCTTGAGTTGTCCTGACTGTAGGGCTCTTTAATTTCAAGATGAAGTTGAGGTGGAGGCAAGTAGAATAATGTTGTTTCTTAATGTGATTGCACTAAGTTAGTTTCCTGTCAAGGCCTTTAGGTTGCTTCGTGCTTTATCTGGACAAACCAAAGGTTTCTCATCACAGTTGCCCTTTTATAGTCTTTTCTGTTGTTAAATTTGTGATGCATAATTCTTCCAAAACTTGAGGATCTGGAAGACACATGGAGATTTTATGTTTGGTTGAATTTCATTCTTACTCTCAAAAGGACTAAAGAAAAAAGGTCAAACACGTGAAAACTTGCAGTTCCTCTTAGCCTCAGTTTATATGAAATATTATGTATGCAAATGTTTGGTTTTCTTTTCTCCTGTGTATCTCTTTCTCACCCTGTGGCCACATATGTGATGGATTTCTTCTTTCTTTTGCTCATCAGCCCTTACTGTTCTTGCGTATTTTTCCTGGACTTCTGCACTCCTGTCTGGCCCTCTCTTCTCCATCTTCTCCTCTTCCCCCTCCCATTAGGGGGAGAAGGCTCTGGAAATTCCCTCTTTTTTGGAAATCAACAGCTGATAGCTTTACTGCAGCCCTGCTATGAACAGCTGTGTAGCAGCTGCAGAAGGAAGGGCCTGGAGCTGACTGCTCAGAGTAAAGGGGGCCTGTTGAGTTTTCAAAAGAAGGGCACCACTCTGATGATGCATCTGGTCCTTGCTGCTGCTTAGCCCCATGGATACCTTTTATCCCAAGTGGATTTTATCGGTATGCGCATACTGGCCTATCTCTGTGCCTCCTTCCCGTTTTGGATTGCCATGGGAGAAGTTTGTAATAGCCTACCCTGGGATGTTTGTCCTTGTTGTGGTGCATAATAACGGATGTCTTACCATAATCAAAGGAAAATCACCTTGACTGTTTTGGGACAGGTAAGATAGTGAAGCCTAAACACAACAGGAAGAGCTGGTTTTGAAGTTTATGACAGGAATTGGAAGGAATGGAGTATACGGGAAACAACATACTAGTGAAAATTGTTAAATTAAGCTCTAGTTTAAACCTCTTGCTTTTTCATAAGTATAGTGGGGAGTATACTTCTCTCTAAGAGGTACTCAGCAAGTATCTCTTCCTTCTGTTTACTCTAGTTTTTTTTATTGATGCTGAGTCAAGTATCATCCTGAAAATGGAAAACTGCAAGGCATACCTCAGTTTTAGCTTTTCCAAATTCATTCATAGTCTCTTCTGTGTTTTGGGGACTTTTCCACTTAGAGGATGAACGTGTAAAATAGAGCAGTTAATTGCTCTTACTGTGAATTCGGGTTTCTTCAAGGGAAGGGGTTCCTATTTTAAAAATTAGATCGATTTAACACAAAACCCCCCAAACAAAATCCCAGCTCCGCTCCAAACCACTTTACAACATCCCGTCCGAGATTTTGTCCTAAACGTTTTGGGTTATTTTTTGGGGGGGTTGTGGTTTTTTTTGGGAGGGAGGTTTGGGGTTTTTTTTGTTGTTGTTGTTTGGTTGGTTTTTTTCCCAGTGGATCTCACTCAATTTCTGCTTGCATTTTTGTACATAATCACTGAGAATTGTTTTCTTCCTCAAGGTCATTTCGTTTTTGGCTGCAGTGTTGCACAAAAAGGGAACACGTGAGGATATTGAAAATAATATGCCAGAATTTTTACTGAGGACAATGAAAAAAGAACCCAAGTGTAACCCCAAGAAGGTACAGCTTTTAGTGATACAAGCTTAAGAATTTTGGTAAAAGACAATACTTAGATTTTTATTTTTTTTCCATTTTTTTGCTTGCTTTAGGAGTTTATGCATATTTATTTTTAAAATTCAGCTAATTTAGCAGATTAAGGGCTCATGGTCTTAGTAGTGTTAGGGAAGCCTTTAGTTTTCCAGACTGTCATAGTGTGTTACTTAACTGTTATTGTCGAATCTGGTAAAACTGTTGATCAGCAGTAACATAAAATGTTTGGAAATACCTGCATGAGATCTATGGCTAAAGTAATTTGAAAAGCCTGTGTCAGTAAATAGAAAACTACAGTTTTGCAGGATTGTGTTTCTCAAGTAAGAAAAGCATGTGCACCTGTATTAACAGGATATATAAATAATTAAGGTGAATATATATATTTGGAAAATTTATTGTTAATATTCTTGTGACTGCACGTGTTTTCTTGAATGACTGTCATAATTTCTGGAGTCAGACTGATGATCTGGGGAACTGCATTGGATTAGAGCTAATAAAGATACATTTAAAAGCTCTGTGTGAATGAGAGAAATCTGAAGATTGTTTTAATTTATCCAGCATAGGACTTAAGCAATTTCTGGTTTTGAGTGCTGTTTTTATCATATTGAAAAAATTGGAATACTTGGCAGTGCTGCTTGTATGACTATGGCTCTCTGAGGATTGGATGCAGGTTTCTCAGGACATAGAGGCAGAGAGGAAAAAGTGAAGGGGTAGCACTTCACATAAAAGAAGGAAAACAACCAAACAAATAAAAACAAACTAGGAACAATTCTGATTGGTAATAAGAGAAAGAGTTTCACTTTGAGGCTGAGTAAGTACTGAAGGTTACAGAGAGAGGTTGTAGACCACTCCCATCCCTGCGGGGTTTTGAAGACCTGAACTGGGGGAGCCCTTTATACCGGTTCTTAATTCAGTGTTACCCCCTGCTTTGACCAGTATGTTAAGACTAGAAACTTCTTGAGAGCCCTTCCCACCTCACTGATTTTATTATTCTATGATATTAAATCAGTTGTATGATCTGTCCTACATCTTTAAAGCCTTTTCATGTCTTTCTGTTTTGAAGTCATATGATGACCTGTGGATTGGACAAAGTTGCTTACCCTCTTCATCCTTTTGTTTTCTCCATCTGTAAAACATTTTATGGCATACAGATGCTATAGCAAAGCAAAGTGGTAGTATCTCATATGTCTTATTGCAGTTTTAGAGTGTAATTTGAGTAATTAACACTACTTTGTGGGGTTTTTTTAGTATTGCAGTACATTTGTATTATTGACATACAGTACTTCTGTATTACTCACAAACTGAGTAAACATTACTTTTGAGTTTGTAGTGATTCTTCAGGTATTTTCTATATATGCTTTAAAGTGACAGAATTAGACATGTTCAAAGTGTTGAAATCAGTAAAATAGATACCATGCATTTGCTTTCTGTTATTGAGGAAGAAGTGCTAGGTTGCAGTTTTTCCAGTAATGCTATAACATCTATTTGTTTTCAGACTTTCCTCATAGTGGCCCCTCTTTCAGTGCTTTACAACTGGAAGGATGAGTTAGACACATGGGGGTACTTTAAGATCTGTGTCTTACATGGCAGTAAAAAAGATGATGACTTCAGTCGCATCAAGCAAGGGAAATGTGAAGTTGCCCTTACAACGTATGAGGTACTTCGCCTGTATTTGGATGAATTTAATAGGTAATGATTTTAGTATATTTTTCTACACACAGAATTTTAATTATATAGTTTTGCATTGTTCTTTGCAAGTACTTATTCTTCCTGTGTGATACATACATATACTGCTAAATTCAGTGACTCACTGTGCTGAAGAGGAAAATCTTATTTAACTGTCTTTGCACAGTTTACCCTTTTATCTTTATTATGGGATGCTCAGGAAAAGTAACGAATTGAATAGTTTTCTTGAAGGTAGTCTTCACCATTCATGAAGTTTCTGTAAAAGACATAGGAATTGCTTGTCTGAAAACAGGTGGTAGCTAAGGGGTATGCAGAAGATATTTTCTATCTTTCAGTGTAAGGTAAAAATCTGGAATTTTTAGCAAATGTTCAAAATGTGCATTTTCCTTGTTGTGTTTTTTTCACCAGCTTCAGGAAATTCTTGAGTCCAAAAAAACTTGAGATAAAAGATGTATATTTGTCTCTGTATAGTTTTAAATACCTGATGGACTTAGTAGAATCAAGGTCTTTCTGACAGTGAATGTATTAGACATGCTACTTTATTTCTGCCATGGCTGTCAGGATTTTCAAACTAGAAGTTTTGGCTTTCCTTCGGCTATGTTCAGGAAACAGGTATATATGCAGAGCAGATCTGATCGACTGCTTGCAGATACATTGCTGCAGCATACAGGTTTACCCATACTCTGTTTCTACAGAGCATGTGACTGGATGAACCTACGACCTTGATGTTGGGAGAGGTTATGTGTCTTGCTTAACTAGAATGATGGATTGGTCTCAACTGGCCTTAAGTAATTAACTATTGTGGAGAAGAATACATGGGATCAGTTATGTGTGTACATCCACATAGTGAGAGGTTAAGTTGAAGGAGCTAATATATGATAGTTTGTTGTACCCTCTCCAGAAACTCCCAATTTTTAGCAGATCTTAGGAACATAAGGAACTTGGATATGAAGGAATGTAACAGGCATCAAAAATGCCACAAGTTTGGCTTTCAGATTAGTGAACTAAATGCAGCCCGTTCAGGAGAGAGGTTTCTTCCTAATCCTGTCTGTTTCAGCTTTTTGCGGTCTGAAGTGTCATTGAAGTGGATATGATTTTGCTGTGAAATATGCATTCATGTATATAAAGCAGTCTCATACAGTTAACAAATGTCTTCCTACGTACTTGATAACTTAAATTAGTATCACAGTATACATACAGGTCATTCTACCTCCGAGTTTTATGCTTGAAATTGGCTGCAAAATACCTTTCAGTTCTTGCTTCTAGATATGTTTCTCCTAGTTGCGAAATCACAAAATATTTAAACTCCTCTGCCATATTGGTATCATACGCATACTAAAGAAGTTGAGTGATGTAGGACACCATGCAGATTGAAGTGCTTTCAATCTGCTTCTAGTTACACTGGATAGTTTTCATTGGGAAAATGAAGCATACCTGCATTAAGCATCTTTCAGTAGTTTATCTTCAGAGATTTAATTTTTCTAACTCTTACTTATGAGCTAAATTAGTGCTGGTGAGATATGCTGGATTGATTGCTCCAGATATTGAAAGCTGCCTTCTTCAGAGAAAGCATTTGATACATTTAGCATTAGTTCATTTATTTGGCGGTGTTGTTTAGCCATTATACTCAACTATGGCAGTTGAATTTATTAAACAAACAGAGAAACTGAGTATGTAATGCAAACAAAAAGTAACAGTGTCTTATAATAATCACAGCTGCTTGTGTGGCTGACTTCATGTAGAATGATGGGGTAAGCAGTTTCAGTTAACACAGTATTTTTTATCGATCTGCAGTGTAGAATGGTCTGCTGTAATAGTGGATGAAGCACATAGAATCAAGAATCCAAAGGCTCAAATAACTCAAACCATGAAGTCATTAAAATGCAGTGTTCGCATTGGTCTTACTGGAACCATTCTTCAGAATGATATGAAGGAACTTTGGTGTGTTATGGACTGGTAAATAAAGTATCTATTTATTTATTTTTTTTTTTATGGGCAAACATCTCTATATGTTAACCATGTAGTGGGGCTGGGAAGGAGATGGATGATATGGACCCATCTGTGTCAGAAAACCCAACAAGTCATAATCCTCCCCAAAAAACCCCAATGTTTTGTCAGTATGTAAGTATGTTTTTCCAGTGCATCTGCGGAGGTAAGCTCCTGATAAGAATTTTTATGTTATTTAGTACATTTGGAACTCCTCAGATCTGGTTTCTTTGGGGAATATGGGAAGCAGTTAAAATGCTACCCATCCCACTCCTGCCCTCCATGTTTACCTTTCTTTTCCAAGGACAGACTTTTCTCTCCTTCTTCTTTTGACCTCCACAGGGTAGATGGGGAGTCATTACAGAAGTTTGAACACTGTTGTGCATTTGCTCTGTCCAATATGTGCAGGTCATTCTGACTTACTTAGAAGATGAAAGTAATGATATCCTACTGTTTTCCAAAATACACAAGTGCATGTAATTGCAAAGCAATAGTCTTCTCCAAGAAAAAGGAGCGGGAGGGGTGGAACGAGCCCTAGGTAGAAATTGAAATGTAGGCGACTTTCTGGAGATGCTCTACAGAGGAGGAACAGAGCAAACATACCTTAAATATAGGGATATACATAGTGAATTGAAATATGGCAAAGAAAATATTTTAACAGTAAGTTTACTGTTGCATCCAGTCCATTAAAAGTATGCTGATATTGTTAATAAATTGTTCCAATATGTAAAGCTGCCAGTGATTACCAACCCCTTTTTGCTGTTGGGTATCTTAAGATTTTATTTAGTAAATTGTAATATCTGCATAATGTGATTCTAATAAAAACAGTAAAAAGTGAGAACATGACTGCTTAGCTTCCAGTTCAGGCTCCAGAACAGTAATGGTCTGATACTTTAGAAGTTCTGTATACTTGTGACTTCTGTTAGTCTGCTGAGCTTTTGTTTTTCTGGAGGTAACAACTGTTTTCTTAAGGGGAATCTCTTAATGTTTGAGGGTCACAGAAGGCAGATAAAAAATGGCATATCTGGAAGTAGTATATGTTTTTATCTATATACCCAATTTTTATTTATTTTTCTAAGATCTCTTGCTGTTGTTCAGAAACAATTCATGGTATGCTTTTAATTAATGGAAAAAGGAAGACTGCCTTAGAGTAAAGAAAATGCTGTTATTCCTTTGCACACACTCCACCCCCCCCACCCTTTTGGTTTTTTATAGGGCTGTACCAGGACTTTTGGGTAGCAGAGTACACTTCAAGAAGAAGTTTTCTGATCCAGTGGAGCATGGCCAGAGGCACACTGCAACTAAAAGGGAGCTAGCAACAGGTCGTAAGGCCATGGTGGAGCTAGCAAGAAAAATGTCTGGCTGGTTTCTGAGGCGAACCAAAGCACTTATCAGTGATCAGTTGCCAAAAAAGGAAGACAGAGTAAGAGTGCCTGCACATTTCAAATACAGTGTTAATGAATATATATCTTCTTTTTTGTTTTTGTTGTGTTTTCTTTCATCATGCCTGTAGTAGTTTATGTTTCTGTCTTGGACTTACAAATTTAAGAATAATCCAGAGCCTTGGAAAAAATGCACATGCAGTAGTGTGCTTTGTTCACATAATTACAATGATTGCTTGTTGAAATGGGGTTAATCAAGCATGAAAATGCTCAGCTAGACTTCTGACTAGTGATTTATACATCTATTTTATGTGCACTTTTGTACTTATCTGTGCAAAGCCAGTACAATGTATGTAAATCTCTCAGTTCTATGTAGGACTTCAGAATTTGCAGCTTAACACCTTGTGCGTGGAACTATATGTTTTTAGTTTTTAATTTTTAATTCCCTCATTTTTGATCACTAAATAAAAGAAAACGCTAAATCCTGATTGTTGATAGGTCTGGGATCTTGTTCATTGTAATCATTATATGAAGTGATAATACTTTATGACTACAGCTGAGAGTTCTGATAAATTCTTATTGCACATTCTTGTGCTTTCCTTCTAAATAGACAAATACATTAGTTTGCAGCTGGTTTTATTTTCAAAATCTGGTATTTATTCATTATCCTTAGTGTATAATAATGTCATCTAAACTGTCTTTGGAAGAGAAGATTAACACAAACATCAGTCAGTTGCTTTTTCTGAATCTAGCAGGTTTTATTCTTTTTATTCTCTTGTTAATGTGAGTATATGTTCAAGTTACTGCTTTATTATTATAGCTCAGCATGGTGCTGCTGCTGTGTGGGTAGCCTAGGTTAAGGGATGATCTTGGGATTTCTGTCTCCTGCTGCTAAGGCTAAAGATGTCATGGAGATGCCACCCATGGTCTCTAAGAAGAGGGATAAGAGTTTTGGCCATAGTACTGTATAGATCCTTGCCTTCTCATTCCTTATTCTGTTTGCCCTGCCTGTGGTGGTGCCCTACAGCAGCTAGTGCCTAAAAAGAGGAACGAAAGGGCAAATTAAGCAACTGGCAAAGCAGAGGGAAGTCCACAATTACAGTTACATGTTTATTTCTCTTACTTCTTCCACCTCTACAAAAGCCATACTGAAAGGTTTATAGAAACCTAGCAGCAGGTTCTTGTAGCTTGAAATTGACACTCTGTAGAATTCTGGGAGGTGATAAAAAAAGTATGCATTCATTTTTGGCTACAATTTAATGCTGTTTTGTTGTCAAGATCCACATTTTTTAATTTCGTGGTAGAATAATTTTCTGTAACTACTTGAGCAAATATAATCTTGTTTGCTACTTTGTCTTCTATGGTGTATGTTTTTTGATTCAGTACTCTTTTGCTTTTCATTGCATGCTGCGTGAAATTGTGTTTTTGGGGCTTCTCTTTGGCAGATGGTGTACTGTTCTCTCACCGAATTCCAGAAAGCAGTGTACCAGGCTGTGCTAGAGACAGAGGATGTGAGCTTAGTATTACGAGCAGGAGAGCCCTGCAGCTGCAACAGCAGTCGTAAAAGAAGGAACTGTTGTTACAAAGTAAGAACTTGAACTGTTTGGATTTTAGAATGTAATCTTTCTGGTTTTCTCCAGAGATTCAGTGCCAATGAAACGCTGATTGAAATGGCTGCATGCTCATAAGCCATCTGTTTGGGAAGGCCTGACTGGAAACGGGTGGGTGCATCAGGAGCATCATGGTGTTTGGCACTTTGGGATCACAGCAGAGCTGTTTTGCATGCCCCAAGCAGGTGTTTATGCAGTAAATTCTGGATCTTTGTCTGAAGTCCACCTGTGATATAGTTGATGTTGGCATGGGTATTGCATTGGCATGTTCAGGATGTGTCGGGCATACTGCTCCCATATACCTCCGGCAGTCTGTGCAGAAGCTGCAAACCAGAGGCATTCTGGACCTAGCAGCTTGCTGAGCTTTGCATTACAACTGCAGCTGGATTGTCTTTCTGTGCCAATAAACATGCGCTTTGCTTTGCGTCACTGAAAGGAGAACTCTGACAGTAGCTGTAGAGCACAAGCAGAACTTTGTTCAGTAGTAGCAGCTTTGCAGATTTCTTCTGTCTTCCACAGACTTCTTTTGCATTCAGTGAGTCCAGCTTTGGGTTTGTTTTGCCCATGTCACTCAGATTAAGTACATCTTAAGCATTTAGAAGCATATGTCTCGTACTTACATCTCGCTGTTTCCTTCTGTCCTGTTTTGATCCTCATGTTGTGGATGTGTTTGTTGTTTTTTGTTTGGCCTTTTTTTTTTTTTTTTCCCAAATGACGTAGCTTATTCAGTCTTCACATCATTCTTTTAAAACAGTCTTCCAACCAGCCTGTTTGATAATTCATGGTTACAAGCATTAGTTCTTTGCAGACTTTTGTTTCTCATGATGTCTTGTAGAAAAATTAAAATGCTATTGAACTTGATTCACAAAGGGCAGTAAGCAGGCCTGCGGATACTTAAGTGCTCTCAAGGACTGTCTTATTCCAAAGTTAACCATGAAATTTAGTAACTTCAGAAAGGAAAGGAAAACAAATATTGGTTGAATCAGGCAACCATAACCAGAAAAACAGCTGATGTTGTTGCTGCTGCATTGTAGAATATTTTGTTTGAATTATGTTACTTGAGATCTTTATAAAACTTTAAACATTTTTGCTGTAAAGTTAGGAGTCATTACATAAGAATTCATACAAACACTTCTGGTTTGATTTACTTTTGCATCAGTTGTAAAGTTTGTCTTTTTCTTTTTTTTTGTCTATTGAGGAATTCTTGGTTATTTTAATAATTTCTGTAGATACCATGCTATCTGAAATGTTTATCGAACTATGAACATAGGTGTGGGGTTTTTCTTTTTGAGAAGATGTTTTCTGTTAATGGTATCACAAAGCTGAGTAAAAAAAAAAAAAGCCATTTAATTGTTGTTAGAAATACAGTATACATCTATTTGGGATCAATTATAGTACTACTTACAATTGCTAATGCATTAAACCTTGTAAAGCAGTTATTATAGATGTTTTCTTATTTTCAGGAGTATTTGTTTGTGTAACCATTCTTTTCTGTTTTGTTTTTTTTTTTAATGGGGAGTAGGAAAATGCTTACGGTGAAACAGTTAAGTCGCTGCGCTTCAGTTACCTGACAATTCTACAGAAGGTTGCAAATCATGCTGCACTGCTGCAGACAGACAACACTAGCAAGCAGCAGGTTAGTCTCGGAAGTATGTAAGGGATGGTCTAATAGAAAAAAGGATGGAAGCTCTTGAATTGCTGCTGGCCTCCTTTTTAAGTTTTATCTAACTGACATTAAAATATTTTGCAGAATTCCTTTTCCATTCAGTAATTTAGAATGCAGGCCTTGTAATGTTGTGTAACACCTCTCTATATATCATTTAATTGATGCATATTTTAAAATAAGGGTTATAGACACACTGAAGAGCTTTAAGGGAGAGAGTAATTTGTAATCATTTATAATATTGGCATTTCTGTCCCATTTATGACAAGTGCCTAGTAAAAGGAATATATTTGTGCAAATAAATAATAGCAATTAGAATGTATTGTTTTTTTCCTGTGGTACTTCATATTCAGTGAGAGATCAGTATCAGTTTATCTTGTTACTGTGGCATCTCACCTACAAGACCCACAGTTTTTAAAAATTATTGTATGTGAGCCTTAAAATCCAAGAATGAGCAGAGGGATCAAGGGGTATTGCCACTTCCCCTCAGAAGCCACAGAGGAATGGAAATGAGAAAATCCTAGCAAGTTTGTTCCATTAAAGCAGTTTGACTTTTTTTAGGGAGTGTTAGTATTCATAGTCTTATATGCAGTATATACCCAAATGTTTTCAGTGTTGGTTTTGTTTTGTTTTTTTTGTTGGTTGGTTGTTGGGTTGTGTTTTGTTGTTGTTTTTTTTTTTTGTACTGTGGATGTAGTTTTTGTTGTAGTAACATTTGAGAGTTTAAATAGCCATAGGAATAACAATATAGGAGTACATAATTATTAACCTCTCAAATTTACTGAAGAAACTGGTATTTTGTAGTACTTCTTACCTTTAGGGTTAAAGTCTATCACATGTGCCGTTCTTAGGTGAGTCACAAGACCTTTTCTGTTCTTCTGAAAAGGTAAACTTAGAGTGTGTGGTCAAGATCTGAGCTACCCAAATTCTAGCAGTGGCTTTTGAACAGTTTAAATGCATTCCCCACTTCTTTTTTTTTTTTTTTTTTTTGTCATATTGGTGGAACAGTACGTAATTAATGTATTGGCTTATGCAGGAGGGTCAGAAGAAATAAATGCTGGTACATACCTGTTGGGTAACAGAAACCTCAGATCATCAGGATTCTTGAGGCTGATGATTCTGGCCAGTCCTATTGCTGTCTCTCTCCGGAGAAGAAATTTTGGACATCTCTTACTGTAGTAACTAGAATCCATGGTTTCAGATTAAGGTCCTTTTTAAATGAAGCAAACTGAAGCACACAGGAGATGTTTTATCCAGCACTCTTGCAGAGGACTGAATAAAAACACTAGAGTCATTCTGCTTGAGTTACTTCAGCAGGTCACTTGTTTCAGCCTGTTTGACTCCTTATATGGCTTACTGGTTTCCCAGTGTAGTTCTGTAATTTTTAGTGCTTACTCAAACTTTCTGCTTTTTTTCCAGGAAGCACATATCAAACGGGTGTGCAGCCAAGTGTTTTCCAGTTTTCCAGATTTTGTGCAGTTAAGCAAAGATGCAGCCTTTGAAACCATTTCAGATCCAAAGTACAGTGGAAAAATGAAGGTAAACGCGTTCTTAGAGGAAAATTAAGTGTTGGTAATAGTAATAGGTCTGCTAGTGTAGTAGATGCTTATAAGAAAATGTGCACCCAATGGTTGTTGGTTTTTAATAATTCTGTTTATGAATAATATATGTTGTGCTACCATGACAACAGGTAGCTCTTGTCGTGGATCAGGATGTCTGTGGGCAGACTCGAAGGAGTGATCTGTGATACTGAGATAATCTAAGATATAACCTTCACATATTCAGTGATGGGCACAGAAATGACCCTTACACTCAAGGGGTTAGAGACGTATTATGACAGAGTTCCATGAAACCATTGATGCGGTGGCAATCAGAAATACTTGGGAAATGGAGCAAAACAAAACCGTTACGGGCTTCATGATTTCTGCACACCTTCAGTATTGTGGGTAGTTCCGGTGCCTTCTCTCAAAAAGCATCTGTTAGACCTTGAAAAGGTTCAGAGAAAGGCTCAGGAAAGGGCCACAGAGGTGATCAGTACCGTGGGACAGAAGCAACCAAATATGATGTGGCTCTTCAGCCTGGAAAAAATGTCTTAGAATGAATTCAGAAGGGACCTACACAGTCATGAGTAGCATCTGGTGAAGATGTACTGGTGAAGACATACTGAGTGCTTATTGTCATCTTCTAACCCTTCAGACATCAAATGAAGCTAGTAATAGCCACATTAAAGATGAACAAAATAAATGTGTTAAGTCTAAACCTGTAAAACTCCTTACCTGAAAAATGGTGACTTTTTCTGGTTTCAGAGGGGAACAAGATGAATAACTGGAAAAGACGTTGAATATAACTAATTAGAAAGAAAACCGTACTAGGTTTAGGAGCGTTCCTGGCCTGAGGGTAATTGGAGGCGAGGAGCTATGCAGGATTGAGTGTACTATATTTTTGTTCTCTATAAATCTTCATGTTTACAGTTGCTAGTTGGGACTGTCAGGGAAGCAGTGGCAGGGCCACATTTTTCTAGCAGCAGCAGTGGTTATCACTTTATAGGTTTGTTATTATGCGAGCAACATCTTTCATTTCTGTTACTACATACATGTGAGAGGCCTGCATATTAGCTTGGTTATAAACATTTAGTCATCTCATGAAAAGCAACTTTATTGTTAAATTGCCAGCAAATGTTTAATACATACCTGTAAAAACTAAGTCTGTGATCTTCAGTAGTGCTTATGAAGCTCTTTTTTTATTGATCAAAAATAACTTTCCTTGCTCTAAAAATTTGTGTCTTAAGGCTGTTGCATCCTTCACTCCAACACTGCCTTACAACATTTTGATTATGTCTGTTTTGATGGAGTAGCAAACAACACAGGCAAGCAGAAATGGCTGAGTTAAGACACAGGTCCCAACATCATCTGCCTGTTGAGAGGAATCTGTTCCACACCATGGCTCTAGGTCTAAGTTGCTTTTGGGACAGCACAGACTGCAGGGACTTCTCGGCGGGTGCAGCTGGCTGTGGCTGTGTGGGTTGGGTGTAACCTTGGCTGGTAGCAGTAAGGTTTTTCTCATGCTTGTGTGTGGTGATCTTGGGTGGTAAGGAAGAAGGTTCTGCTATTGCAGTGCCAGAGTATGAGCGTAACTGTGGTGGCAAAAGAGCAGAGGCTGTTATTTATTTTTACCTAGCATATTATCATTATTTCAGTGAAGTATGTATGTGTTTCAGAGCACCTTGCAAATTATAGTAACTTCTGCTGCTAAACTTAACCCTAACCCAGGCAGGTGTGTCTCTGAAGCCTAAAAACACTGTAGGCTAACTTGGACATCTGTATGCAGACAAGGTGTTCTTAAATGTGATAGGTACCACTTCGTCACAGGGGACTCACAGTGTGTAATAATGGAGAGATACACATTTAAATCCATGTGGTCTCTTAAAAAGAGCACTCTACTTTTGTTTGAGTCTGATCAAGTGTGTCTTTTTCAGACTTAACAACTTTCAGGAGTTGGTGCGCAAACACAGGATTTATTTCTTTTTGGTGCAAAACCATTATTTTTCCTTGTTAGTCAGAGCTGTTCTTCAGAATACCAGAAATCCCAAAGGGCATGCCATTGATCCATTTTATTTAAACAATATGGGTGGATTTGTTTGTGTGTATTACAGGAAATTCATTATTTGACTTGTACTTTAATAGCAACAGTACCGTAGCCACATTCCTTCTACTTTCAAAGAATGTCACTGGTAAATTGACATTCAAATGTAGCTAAATTGAAATGCAAATATAAATCTTTTAGCTCTTCTAAATTACCTGATACAGACTTTTCCCAATAAAATAAATTCAGGATTATATCTTTTTGTACAAGCCAGGCAAATGCTCTCATTTGTACCTTGTTTTCACTTGTAACTGGCTGGCTAACACATACAAAAAGGCTTGTAAGTGATGTATAATTAGTATTTTATAGTCTAGATACCATCCAGAATTGTAAGATTAATATGAACACTCATCATTATTTGGTTGAATAAGATTTGTTAGGCTTTTGGTGAAATCAGTGTTGATTAACAGTTATATGTTTATTACTAAATAAATACAAATTTTTAAAATATTTATTGCCCAGTGGGAGAAAGCTGCAGGCCTGGTACAGAAAATTCCTCTTTCCCCTTTGTGTATTGCTTCTGCACGGTACTCTGGAGCTGCCGTTGCCAGATGTGGACATGCTTCCTTTGAAAATAACAGTATCACTGTTATATACAAGGCTCTGGATTATTTGCTTCCCCACCAGAAGAACGTTGTGTGTGGGCAGATTATTGGCATTTCAAGGTCTGTGCAGACTCTGGGAAGCTGGATCCTACTGTAAACAGAGCAAGAGGCAAGAGTGGGAATCAGGAGGGGCATACATCTCACTGATTATTTTAAGAAGACAAGTTCCAAGCAGTTCTGAGCTCAGATGTAGTATAGAAAGTTTAAACAGGCCTTCATGTTTTCAGGGTACTGTGTGCATTTGTGAAATACAAGAATTCATAAGCTGAGCTAGCACATGAGATAAGGAATGTTTTTTGCAGTCTATGCACTGACACAGATAGCTTCTGAATTTACCTATTAGTGGTATGATTGCCTTTTTACAGCAGGAGTTCCAAGTACACCACTGAAGAAATGTATGCTTGGCATATTTATCGTTAGTAGAGTTTCTTATGCCTCTGGCTTTGCAAACAATTAATTATGGTGTAGCCTATTTAAAGACTGAAAACACGAGTAAGTGTTAAGGTAAAGTCTCTGGTTCATTTACAGGTCCTTCAGCAGCTTTTAAATCACTTCCAAAGGAACAAGGATAAAGTTCTTCTTTTCTCCTTTTCCACAAAGGTGAGGTCCGTATGATTTTTATCGATTAACTGCAGTAGCAAGTTCTGAAGTGTAAAGCCTGGAGGTGACAGCTGTCGACTACTTCTCTTTCTCTCTGTGCTATGGGTAATAATGATGAGGACAGTGCAACATGCTCCAGAACCCCATTGAAACCTCATGAACATGATAAAAATGGTGATAGCAAAACAAACGAAAAACTGCTGCCTTACTTAAGAGCTCTTCAAAACTGTTGTATTACTTCAGGTGTAGATAGCTCATAGTGAGTTCAGCTAGTGTGTCTTGAGTTAGAGCAGTGTCACAGCCAAGTACAACTGAAGGATCCCACAACCTTTGTGTTACCATTTAAATTAGGTAAATTTTTCTGCTCGATTGGCTTTTGAGCAGCAGCAGCCATGAAACTTCATCAGTTGGTTTGAACTTAAAACTGTTAACTAGAGCAAGAGGTGTATGTATGTTTTGCTTTTAGGAGACTTTCTTGATTTTCTTGCTAAGGAGTAATGTGTTTCCTGAAATGGTGCAAGCTAAAATACGTATTTTCTTAAATATGTGTGATGATAGTGCTAAAAAGTATTTTAAAATAATAGCATCAATGACAGTTCATAGTCTTCAATATTTAATTATTTTTTTTCAAGAAAGATTGCAAGTTCAGTATTTGGATGCAGCAGCAAAATGTTCACATGTCTTTCACTTCATTCCTCTGAACTCTGACTGTGCATACCAGTGTGCTGCTTTTCCTGGTGTTCATTTACTGTATTTCAAGCCATTGTAATTTGCTAAGATGGTAGAGAACTGTTTATGTTGCCTTCCAGTCTGTTGGTTTGAACTGATTCACCATACCTTGGGGGGGGGGGACAGCAAATAATGGTTTGAGGATTGAGTAAGACCAAAGCAGACCAATACTGATCACCTTGAGTGCTGTAGAATCACAGCTAAAGAGTCAGTGTTGATATCAAAACTACAAAGATTTGCTCTCCCTTTCAATTCTTGATCTCTTAAAAATAGAATATGTCCTCTTGTTTCAGAAACATGTCCTCCGTAATTAAGTTTAATTAGAAAGATAATCGTAAGCACTTCATCCTTCTTCTTTTTTTTTTTTTTTTCTTTTTTCCCACCCAGTTGCTAGATGTGCTGGAACAATACTGTATGGCATCTGGGCTAGATTACCGAAGACTTGATGGAAATACAAAATCAGAAGATAGAATGAGAATTGTAAGAGAGTTCAACAGCGTTCAAGAAATTAACATATGTCTTGTATCTACAATGTAAGAAAATTTAACTTGAAATTTGTTTCATTCTGCCTTCCTAATGTTTAGTGAATAAGTCACTCTGTATTTTGTTTGATGACCTGATTAAGGTCTTTTCAGTCTCTCATGCTCTGCCAATAGGGAGGGGCACAAATAGCTGGGAGGAAGCAGAAACAGGACACCTGACCCAAAATAGCCGAAGGGGTATTCCATTCCACAGCACATATAAACTGGGGGGACCCACCCGAAAGGCCAGCTCACCACTCAAGTCAGGCTGGGTATCGGTTGGCAGGTGGTGAGCAATTGTACTGTGCATCACTTGTGTTTATTGCTTTTTTTTGCCCCTTTCCCTTTTTTAGTTTTATATTCTCTCCCCTTGTTATTTTCCTTATCATTATTATTTTTAGTAGTAGCAGCAGTAGTAGTTGTAGCATTTGTATTTGTATTATACTTAAGTTACTGGACTGTTCTTATCTCAACCCGTGGGGTTTACGTTCTTTTGATTCTCCTCCCCATCCCACCTGGGGAAACAGGAGGTGAGTAAGCAGCTGTGTGGTGCTGAGTTACCAGCTGGGCTTAAACCACAACAAGTATGTTCTTTATTTCTCAACACATAGTGAATTAAAAGAATTGGGTTATACGCTTATGTCTGGTTTTGGCCAACTGTTCCCGTGTAGTCAACCTGTATGTGTTCTGAAAGTCGTATTGGTTGGAGAACCAAATGTTGATTTTTTTGCTGAAAATACACAGTCTTTTGGCTGTAGAATGCATTCTGCAAAGGGTGAATTCCCTGCACAGTGATGTTAAGTTTGCCGTTGTATTCCACTGGCATAGGCAACATACAGCATTAAAACAGGAACCACCAATCTATAAATTCCGTTTGCAGAGCAGACAGTGGCGGTGACTTCACTGTTAAATTTACAATGTTCCTAGTTTATATTCGTTTTTTTTTTTTTTTTTTAATACTGGCAAAGCACTGTTTCTGCCTTCAGTTGGCTACGTACAGCCCACAGGCATTTGGAAAACGTCATTTTAGTTGGTTGGTGAGTTTTCTGAGAAGTGGAGCCTTAAGTGAAAAAAGAACCCACAAACAAACAAAAAATCCCATGTGTCCGTATAGCAAGACCTCAAGTCTTGCACTTAATGGTAGTATTAAACAGTCATAGGTACCCATAATACCTTTATTGATAGCTATGACTAATGTAGCTATATGGATAAATATATTTTATGGGTGTTGAGAGAAAATATGATTGATTTCTACAGAGCTTGTCAATTCTATCAAACCATTAAGTATAGATCATGAGTTGGGAGCAGCCCTGAGGAAAAGGACTTGGGAGTGTTGGTTGATGAGAAGCTCAACATGAGCTCCTGAAATGTGCACTTGCACCCAGAAAGCTAACTGTATGCTGGGCTGCATCAAAAGGAGCATGACCAGCAGGCTGAGGGAGGTAATTCTCCCCATCTCATGAGACCCCACTTGGAGTCCTGCATTCAGTTCTGGGGCCTCCAAAACAAGAGGGACATGAACCTTTTCGGGCAAGCCCAGAGCAGGGCCATGAAGATGTCTAGAGATGCCAGTGCACCTCTCCTATGAGGACAGGCTGAGAGAGCTGGGCTTGTTCTGCCTGCAGAAGAGAAGGCTCCAGGAGATTTTATAGCAGCCTAAATGGGGCCTTGAGGAAATCTGCAGAGTGACATTTTACAAGGATGTGTAGTGAAAAGACAAGAGGGAATGGCTTTAAACTGACAGAGGGGAGATGCAGATTAGATATTGGGAAAAAGTTTTTTCCTATGAGGGTGCTGAGACACTGGCCCAGGCTGCCCAGAAAAGCTGTGTCTGTCCCATCCCTGGCAGTGCTCAAGGCCAGGCTGACAGGGCTTTGAGCAACCTAGTCTGGTGGGAGGTGTCCTTGCCCATGGCAGGGGGGCTGGAACTGGGTGATTTTTAAGGTCCCTTCCAGCCCAGACTGTTCAATGTTTCTGTGATTTTATGAAAATAAAACCATCCAGTGGAAAGGAATTATTTATGGGAATCCATTCCAAGGGTACAGTCAGTATTTTAAAAAAATGTATTGGATGATCACTAATAGGTGTAAATTCGCTGTTGCCGCAGGCATGGGGAGCCAAACATCCAGCGAAGAAACAGAACATAAGGATTAGGCAAGTTTGAGGACCACAGGGTAACTCAACAGTACATAAATGTTCATTTAGCATCCATTGTTAAGAATTTCCCCTCTCTCAAAAGGTCACCTTTTGCAAAAAGCAACCTAAGGAAGGTATGCCAACTGTTCTGCTGTAAGATAGTGAAAGTATCTGACCTTTTAAGAGGTGCTCCTGTTTGTGAATACAGCCCAGGTACCATACTCGCTGCAGTTCCTCTCCCCTGTGCTTCCCATTAACCAATGCCAAAAAAAATGGGATAGGAGAAGGGAAAAGGGGAGAGGGGACAAGATGGAATGAACATTTTGAAATAAACATTTCATTACTAGTTTTATGTTAGTGGGACCTCAGAAAGAATCTGAGCATAGTATGTCTGAGTCTAGCAGACCTTTGAGTGGGATACTCACTCACGCTGATGGCATTCCACTCAATTTCAGGTGTGTTAGTTCTCAAGTCTTGCAGTTAATGGTAGTATTAAACAGTCATAGGCACCCATAATACCTTTATTGATAGCTATGAATAATGTAGCTATATGGATAAATATATTTTATGGGTATTGAGAGGAAATATGATTGATTTCTACAGAGCTTGTCAATTCTGTCAAACCATTAAGTATAGATCATGAGTTGAGAGCAGCTATGAATTGAGGAGAAGGACTTGGGAGTGTTGGTTGATGAGAAGCTCAACATGAGCTCCTGAAATGTGCACTTGCAGCCCAGAAAGCTAACTGTATGCTGGGCTGCATCAAAAGGAGCATGACCAGCAGGTTGAGGGATGTAATTCTCCCACTCTGCTCTCATGGGACCCCACTTGGAGTCCTGCATTCAGTTCTGGGACCCCCAAAACAAGAAGAATGTGAACTTGTTGAAGCAAGTGCAGAGGAGGGCCATGAAGATAACCTGAGGGATGGAGCAGGTCTCCTGTTGAGACAGGCTGGGAGAGCTGGGCTTTTTCTGCCTGGAGAAGAGAAGTCTAAGGGAGCACTCTTAGAGTACCTATAAGGTGCCTAAAGAAACCTGGAGGGGGACTTTTTACAAGGGCACGTAGTGACAGGAGAGGAGAAATAGCCTTAAGATGGCAGGGTAGATTTAGAATATATATTAGGGAGAAAGTCTTTGCTGTGCGAATGGTGAGGCACTGGCACAGGCTGCGCAGAAAAGTTGTGGCTGCCCCATCCTGGCAGTGTTCAAGGCCTCGCTGGCCAGGGCTTTGAGCAACCTGGTCTGGTGGGATGTGTCCTTGCCTATGGCAGGGGGGTTGGAACTGGATGATCTTGAAGGTTCCTTCCAACCCAGTCCATTCTGTGATTAAAGAGAGGCCCTTGATTAAAATTACAAAGTGTTTTACTGGGTTTTCCATGCTAGCCTTTCTCTGGAACATTGAGGTATTAAGCTGTCAGTGATGGGTTATAAAACCAAGGCATTTATTTAACACAGTGTGCAATTTTAAGTAAGATGATCTTTTCAAAGCTGCTGTTTGTAACAGAATTGTTATGGGACCTTTCATATAGGGCTCTTCATTTGAGTCATACTACAGTAGTTTGCATGGACCATCTTGCAGCAGTGACTAAGAGCTAGTTAAAATGGAAGATATTATTTAGTGTGCACAAACTGATTACTGTATTCATTGTCTCCATTAAGGATATAGCAGCCATTTTTTTTCCATTTTGGAGTATCTGAATTTTTGTGACATACCTAAAAATAATGAAAGGCAAAATCTTTAAAAAGCTAAGTAGCCTATTCAGTTAATTTTTATAGGCAGTATGTTTTACTTGTGCTAAGGCTTTACACTGAGGTATAATTCATATTGCAGTTCCAAATATTGCAATTTTTTTTAAAAAGCATTGGAGAAACATGTTGACTTATATTTCACTTTGACTACAGGGCTGGTTTGGTAAGATGAGAGGCTGAATTCTGCCTTCACTAAAAAGAAATACACCAAAATTCCAACATACAGTAAGGTATTCTGAAAAATACAAAGATTTTTATTCAGCATTACAAACTTTGAGAATGCTTATCCACTGGAAACCTCCGTTAATATTGGCAGGTTCTCACTTCCTCTCTTTTCCCAGATTTAACTAACCCAACACCACATCACACCTGGAAGGAAGAGGCCACAACTGTATTTACATTGACAGGAAATCCATGTAGACCAAAAACTAGTGGAGTTCCATAAGCTTTTAGTTTCTGTATCCATTCATTCTTACACGTGAAAATTTTAACTTTCCCTGTGCAAAATGTATTCTTCCAAAACTAGGTGCTTGATAAATTAAATGGGATTGACGTTTTCAATTTTGCAGTACCTCACTCAGAAAAAACACACACTTAAAAATTAGTGCTGCCTATGTCAATGTGAAGAATTGTTTTAAAAGTTAAATTAATAATAGTATTTAGTACATGCTTGTGTAGGATCTTGTCTCTTCCTGTAGGAGTGTTGGTTGAGCCAGTTGAAAAGAATTATTAATTGCCTGATTTGTTGCTGAATGAAAAGTGGTATTTTCCTTACTTTTATTCCTTCAAAATAAAACATTGAGCTATGCATATGCCAGGCTCTAGGTAACTGACCATTGTTAATTCTTAAAGGTATGGCATATCCTAGACTATGGCCATTTTAGTAGAAACTGCATAGCATTACTGTGAAACTATGTACTGGGATTAGAGGAAGTAAAGTTTAATGCAGACTCTTATTTAAGCTATAGTTTTCCTTCTTCTGTAATGTTAACTGGCATGAAAGTGGTTATGAATTTCAGTAAAATCGTTGGTGGAGTAGACCTGTGTAGGGCTTAGTGGGTATGAAGTAGCAGTCAGGGCTTCTACTGTTATAAAGTGATAGCAGTTGGTTATGACAGCTAGTCATACAGTTTGTAATCTACTTCTTAAGAGAGAAGACTGTATTTTACAGCAGTGGTTATTTGAGTACTTAGTGGTTATTAACACAACAGTAACACAAAGCTATACCCCACTATTTTCAGTATCTCTATTGTGGTCTTTTTTTTATGTAGGGGAAAGGTATGTCAATGTGGATTTAATACACGGGATGGGGGGGGGAGAGGGAGTTCTGTTTTTCTTACTGTCAAATAGTCCTATTTTTTCTTTTTCATATTTTTAGGGCTGGTGGACTGGGTCTTAACTTTGTTGGTGCCAATGTTGTTATACTGTTTGATCCTACATGGAACCCAGCAAATGATCTTCAGGCTATTGACAGGTATATTCTGAATATACAGAACTCAGTCCATGTTGTATTCTTCTTTAGATTTGATTCTATAATCTGGTTGTTCAAGTAGAATTTTCCTCAGGGAAGAAGTTTTTAATATAGTCTTGCTTGTCCATGAGATAGTAAGAGATGTCCAGCTAAATTATTTTTTAGCGTTGATATTTTAAACCCTGAATTTTATTTCTTATTTTACATTTTATTTTTGTGGCACTGTTATGTAGGGTCATAAAAACCCCAAACAAACCAACCAGAACACAACAGCAACACCACATCTTCCCCCACCACCCCCCCCGCCAAAAAAAAAACAAACCAGAACCCAAGCAAACAACAAACTGTAGCTGCTGTAACTTTGCATGATCTCTAGAATGTGTGTGTCTGTGTAGCTGGATGGCATTTCTCCTGTTTGTCAAGACAAAATGCATTGTAGTTGACCCTCGTTCAAGGGATGTTTTGAATTCCAGAATCCTTGAAAAAAAATTTATGCTCTTTTCCGCTTCCCACTTGTGGAGATTAGTGTCTCTTCAGCACTCACTCCCATCTCTGATATTATGCCATTGGAGTATTTCCAGGAATCTGGATTTTTCTTTTAGGGCTTTTTGACCGTAAGATGCTTGCCTAGGAATTCAGGGCAGGCTTTTGAGTAGCTGAAATAAAAAATACTGGAAGCCTTGTAAATTTAGTAGATACATATGTATTTTCATGAGCAGAAATAAACTTGTTTCTGTTGTCCCTTCTAATTATGTAATTCCATCTTAAGAGTCTTTCTGGCTTCTAAGAAATATCTGTTTCAGCAATGCGTGTTGTTGAAACGGTCTGCTTTTAAAGAATCTCTGTAAGATCACATTTCTATAAATTGGATCAGCCTCTGATATTTTTGGAATATAATCTGTTAGAAGTCTCAGAATTTACCATTTAGATAGAACACTACCTGTTTATTAGCTGTTTTATGATGTTGTGACTTGCAAAGTAATTTATATAGTTAAGAAAGAACAGGCTGCCCCAAGTAATCCTGTGATCTAACTCCTATATAGTGCAAATAGAATACCTTATGAGAGAGCAGATGGAGACACGGGATGGAGTGGTGAAAAAACACAACTGAGAAAACGTATTGGAAGATGTGTTTTCAAGAGAGGTGGGAGACAGGCCTTGTGATACAAACTTAGGACAGAGATTTTTCAACTGGATAAACCTTGGAAGAAATATTGAAAACTAAGGGTAAAGGGAATTAAATACTGAGGAAAATTTGGAAAAGTAAAAAACCCAACCAAACAAAAACCCAAATAAACCCAACAAAAACAAACTAGCAAAAAACACAACCAACTCATAAATGATTTAGAGTACTAGTGTTTTATTGGAATGCTTTTATTTACTTATTTATTTTACTACTCCTAAGAGTGCTTTCTCTTTTTAACCGATAAAAATGTTTTTTTAATGTCGTTGTCCCTGCAGAGCTTACAGGATTGGCCAATACAAACCTGTTAAAGTGTTCAGATTGATATCCTTAGGAACTGTGGAGGAGATGATGTACTTGCGACAAGTTTATAAACAGGTAAAGTTCAGAAACTATTTAAATTGGGATATCTTTGAAGCAGTTTCAGTGACTGAAAGCCAAGATAGCCTATAGCAAAATTGTAGTTTACCTCGGTTATATGATATATGCTATTACCTTAACTGATTAAGCAAAGGTACAGCTTTAAGTAATTGTTAAAGAACAAAACAATTATATTTGTATTTGAGTTTTTCTGTAACTTTGGACAGCTTAATTATACAATATACATTTATCAAGTTATATGGAAAACTTCAAGACTTGTAAAATATATCTTTGAGAGTTGTAGTTAGACTCTGCAGCAGTCTGATTTGGTTGGAGTCTGATTTTGTCCAACCCTCCAACAAAGGGTTGGAGAAAGACGAGCAAAAATCTTACTGGTGCTATGGAAGAAAAGCAAGAAGGCATATCTGCGCTCCTGCCTTTAAAAACTTGCTTGTAAAAGAGGGGAAAACCAGCTTGTAGTTCTGCTATTACAAAGAGAAGAAGAGATGTTGCTTGCCACAATACTGAACCTGGAACGCTTTCTAAATTTTGCTAGTTACATTGATAAGTTTAGACACCTAAGAGTGGGAAAACCAGAAGTTTGAGGAACACAGAATCTAGCAACTGTTTCCTAATGAATAATAGCTTGGTTAATAGGTAGTCTTCAGAATGGTGACCTGTCACTAGTTGGGTCCCACAGAGATTGATGTTGGTCCCAAGACTGCTTAAAACCTTCATAAGTGATCTGGAAGATGGGATGAAGTGTACCCTGATTAACTTGCTGATGATACCAAACTGAGTCAGGAAATGGACACTTTGGAAGGGGGAGCTGGTCTGCACGAGGACATGGATAGGCTGGAAGAGTGAGCAAACAAGAACCGTATGAAGTTCAACAAGGAAAACTGGAAAGTCTTGCACCTGGCTAAACACAGTCCAAGAGTGCAGCACAGGGAGGGATCTACCCAGCTGTGGAACAGCTCTGGAAGGAGACTAGAGGTCCTGTTGGACAACAAGCTCAGTATGAGTGAACAGTGTACAGCTGCGGCAAAGAAAGCCAACGAGATGCTGGGTTACATCAACAGGGACATTGCCAGCATAGATAAGGAAGTCATCCTACTCTTATCCTTGCTTGTCAGGTCACACCTACAATACTGTGTTTGGTTTTGATCTCTGCCTTGCAAAAATGACATGGACAGGCTGGAGTGAGTCCAGAGAAGGGCTACAAGGATTATCAGAGGAGTGGGAAGCCTGCTGTGTGAGGAAAGGCTGAGAGAGCTGGGCTTGTTCAGCCTTGAGAAAAGAAGACTTAGGGGAGACTTCATCACCATGTTCCAGTGTTTAAAGGATGGCTACAAAGAAGATGGAGACTCCCTTTTTACAAGAAGTCATGCGGAAAAGACAAGGGGTAATGGGTACCTGTTCCTCCCAAGGAGATTCTAATTGGATACGGGAGAATTTTTCGCAGTGAGAACAATCATCCATTTGAATAATCTCCCCAGGGAAGCAACATTGGACACATTTAAGATATGGCTGGACAGGGTGCTGTGACATCTTGCTAGACCTTGCTTTTGCCAAGGTGTTCCTTGAGGTCCCTCACAACCAGGTATTCTGTGATTCTAGAGTAGTAATATAGTTTTCAAACGCATCAGGAGCAGGAATTGCACTGCTCTATGGACGTTACTTTAGCAAGGTCTAAAGGAGCGTTCATTGCCAAAAAACCTCGTCGATTTATTCTTTATATCCACATTAATGGAAAAGCTTAGAGAGCATCCTGTTTCAAAGTTTCTGTCATGCAAAGTACTTAGGAGGATTCACTTCAACAGCAACTATCGGTAGTGAGATCTCAGGCTAACAAAATGAGCAATAGCAATTTACCACCAGCTGTATTCACTAAAATCCTGGAGGAGTGTCATGCTTCACAGAGGTCTTTGCAGGTGGTAATCCTGTAGATAAAGAAAACCTGGATATTGGTCTGTTTGGTTTTCCAAGAGGCATCTATAAAACTTGTTGAAAGGCTCATGTGGTTGGTTTGTTTTTTGGGGGCTTCTTTTTTTGCCCCAAGTTGGCTTGTGGTTTTCAAGTTGAATAGGAAGCAATAAACAGAATAAATCTTGAATTTTAATTTTTCTAGTCTACACTTGTATTGCATTGCCTGCTATTGACCTGAACACAGTTAGGAATTTTTCAGTTGGTTTTGAAGCAAATGCGTTTTTCTGATATTGAAAGTTCAGAAACCAAGAGTACTTGTGTGCATGTGGCTTTTGGTGAGCTATACAAATGCGCTCTCAGAGAGCTGAATGTTGTCATCTGTGCCTTTCAGAAATAAGTTTATGTGAAAACGCTTTCTCATGTTTGTAGTGTATTCTTAACCAAGGGACCTATTTGACTTTAAAATTGCTACATTCTTTTTTAATTTGTGGTGTTTGATTGTCTGATGTAGTCATTTGTGATTGAGTAATCTGATGTAAATAAAATTGAAATCTAACATAATAGAAACCCAGGTAAGTTATATATGGATCCTAAAGTATACTTTTGTAAATAATATGAGTAATTCAAGAAAGATGTAAGCTGTGCTTGGCTAAAGTTTAACTAGAATTTGACTGTACAGTTAGTTACTGGCCTGTGTAATTCCAGGGATGTGCTGTCCAGGAAAATGCCTGTTCAGTGCTAGAACTAGGAGGAGAACTGAAGAACTACCAACTACTTAGAGACTGTCACAAAAAATATTACAAGTCTTGCATCCATAAAACCATGGTTTTGATGTTCTTCAGTTTAAAATCAAATAGACCAGTTATCCAAATATTGAAAATTTACAGTCATTGAAACCTGCCTGGCTACAAAAATGTTTTAGTTCTGCCTGACAAACCATTTACTTGTTTTTCCTTTTTACCTAGGAGATTTTTAAGTCACTTCTGTTCAGTCTACTTAGAGTACATGATAATTAAAATATTCAAAGATCATTGGGAGTAATCTTGTGGCCTTATTTAGTCCTTACCAAGTAAACATACAATGCAAAGGACTATGGTAAAAGTTAGTAAACATTCAGTACTGGTGAAAGATGAGCAGTCAAGGTACAGAGAAGTGTCAGTAGTGTGTACGGTAGGTGTCTGGTATCAGACAACAATGAAGTGAAAGACTTGAAATACTCTTTTTTTTTTTTTCTTCTGTAAAACCAAGCAGGTTCATATTATAACACAATCTATTATACTGACATCTGCCAGGAAAATCAAAACAAAATATCCTCCTGTAGGAATTTTTGCCTGCTCCAACTAAAGCTGTGTGTATAATGTGGATGCCAGGAAATTCTGATGAGTAGTTGGAGCAAACACTTCTGAAATCTTTTGTGTTGTTCTGTTTTAGCAACTTCACTGTGCGGTGGTTGGAAGTGAAAATGCCAAGCGGTATTTTGAGGCAGTGCAAGGATCAAAGGAACATCAAGGAGAGCTTTTTGGGATCCATAACCTTTTCAAACTTAGGACTCATGGGTCCTGTCTTACCAAAGACATCCTGGAGGTGTGAAGTCTTACCCTTTTAATTCTGGATATTAGCTTTACATTTTTGCTTTCCTCATTAGTTACTTTGTTACAATTTTAAATGGAAACACTTTATGAAGCTGAATGGTGAAATCTAAAAAGTACCTGTCTAGGAGTGCATTAAATGAAACAGGCATGCTAATTCCTGACTCTGATGTAGACCAGCTAAATTTCCTTAAATCAGACAAAAAACCTGGAAAAAGTTCTGATTATAGTTTTCTAAAGTTTGCCAATATGTTTCTTTTCCTAGTAAAAATGCCATAACTTACTGTTGTAATACTTTCACATATTGTTAACACTGTGTACAGGCACCTTTTATTCATCAGTAGATCAGTGACCATGTAAGCCAGAGTTCTGATAATAGGAATATTTTTTTTATGATCACAGTAACCTTTATATAGTACATTTTGAAGTGTCAAAAGCTATCTAATAACATGTATTTTAGAATGCTGTGTTTAAAAACGTTACAGGGTGAAGTAAATAACTGAGGCTTTATGCTTTAATTTCTTAGTTATTCTAAAAAAATTATGGTCCAGTTTCAGAGTGTATAGTGCAAACTGATTTTAAGTATATTCAGTATCCAGTATGTTTGTTGCAGCTAACTTGCATCTTGGAGTTTACTGCAGCTTTCTTCTAGGTTTCTTTCCCTCTGTTGTGTTATTTTGTCTTTGCTAGGAGGAGGCTTGGGAATGTAATACAGTAACACAAAGTTAGCATAGCCAAAAGAGTAACTTTGGGGATATTAAGCTCAAAACTTCTCTAAATTAAATTAAAACATGGCATGTAATTTGAGCATTGAAGCAGGTATTCTGTTTTAGGAAAAGAAAGTTTAAAATTATTAAAATAGTGTGCAAATCAAATGCTCCAAATTTATGCAGCATGTTGCTTCTACTGCAGGATATGCATTAGATCGAAGAGCAGTAAGTGTATTGCCAAAATGCAAGCCTGGTCTTTGCTGATTGTGTTTCTGGTGCTTAGACATCTGTAAAAAGGAAGAAAAACTGGGCTTGCCTTTGTTAACTTGAACAGATAAAAAAATTTATTGCAAACATTCTTGACTGTTCTAGAGGGAAGGACGGGTAGAAGCAGGAGTCATAACAGCAACTACGTGGCTAAAGGAAGAGACTTCTCCATGCAGCTCAGAAAAGGTGAGGACTGTGAACTAGAGCATGGTAGTCCCTCTGGTTCCTGACACTGTAGAGGCAATTATAGACAGTATGTAATTAGACTGATAATATGTTTACCTTAGATTGAATTTGGTGTCTTTTATTGCTTGCTTGCCCCTGGTTTCATGTATTGTAAAGTATTGGATAATATCATGCTCTCATTGTGTATTTAAAGTAGAGTATTCTGAATATCTGGTAATGTGGTATTCTATGACCTTTACAACACCTGGATATCATATCTTCAGTCTGAAGTTTTTACTAATATGCTGTTATTACACAACAATATTGTTTACTGAAAGAGAATCATAGAATGAATTGTGTTGAAAGGGACCTTAGAATCACAGGATCATAGATTAGTTAGGGTTGGAAAGGACCTTAAGATCATCTAGTTTCACCCCCCTGCCATGGGCAGGAACACCTCACACTAAACCATGTCACCCAGGCCTTCGTCCAGCCTGGTACTGAACACCACCAGGGATGGAGCATTCACAGCTTCCTTGGGCAGCCCATTCCAGTGCCTCGCCACCCTAACAGGAAAGAACTTCTTCTTTTATCCAATCTAAACTTCCTCTGTTTCAGTTTTAACCTGTTGCCCCTTGTCTTATCACTACAGTCCCTAATGAAGAGTCCCTCCCCAGCATCCCTATAGTCCCCCTTCAGATACTGGAAGGCTGCTACGAGGTCTCCACGCAGCCTTCTCTTCTCCAGGCTGAACAGCCCCAACTTTCTCAGCCTGTCTTCATATGGGAGGTGCTCCAGTCCCCTGATCATCCTTGTGGCCCTCCTCTGGACTTGTTCCAACAGTTCCATGTCCTTTTTATGTTGAGGACACCAGAACTGCACACAATAGTCCAAGTGAGGTCTCATGAGAGCAGAGAGGAGAGGGGCAGGATCAACTCCTTCGACCTGCTGGTCACGCTGCTTTTGATGCAGCCCAGGATACGGTTGGCTTTCTGGGCTGTGAGCACACACTGAAGCCAGCTCATGATTATTTTCTCATCGACCAGCTCCCCCAAGTCCTTCTCTGCAGGGCTGCTCTGAATCTCTTCTCTGCCCAACCTGTAGCTGTGTCTGGGATTGCTCCGACCCAGGTGTAGGACCTTGTACTTGGCATGGTTAAACTTCATGAGGTTGGCATTGCCCACCTCACAAGCGTGTCAAGGTCCCTCTGGATGGCATTCCTTCCCTCCAGCGTATCAACCGAGCCACACATGTTTGTGTCATTGGCAAACTTGCTGAAAGCACACTCAATCCCACTGTCCATGTCACTGACAAAGATGTTGAACAAGACCGGTCCCAACACCGATCCCTGAGGGACACCACTCATTGCTGGTCTCCAGCTGGACATTGAGCCATTGACCGCAACTCTTTGTGTGCGGCCATCCAGCCAGTTCTTTACCACCGAGTGCTCCATCTATCAAACTGATGTCTCCAATTTAGAGACAATGATGTCGTGTGGGACAGTGTCAAATGCATGCCTTCCACGAGGATCTGCTCCAAGATTTTGCTGGGCACGGAGGTGAGACAGACTGGTGTGTAATTTCCTGGGTCATCCATTTCCCCCTTCTTGAAAATGCTGTTTATATTACCCTTTTTCCAGTCATTGGGAGTTTCACCTGACTGCCATGGTTTTTCAAATATGATTAGCAGCTTCATTTGCCAGCTCCTTCAGGACACCGGACTGATTTTGTCAGGTCCCATAGACCTGTCTATGTTCAGGTTCTTAAGATGGTTTCAGTCCACAGATCTTCTCCCACAGTGGGGCCAAGGTCTTCATTCTCACAGTCCCTGTGTCTGTCTTCTAAGACTTGGGTGGTGTGGTCAGAGAATTTACCAGTGAAGACTGAGGCAAAGAAGTCATTCAGAACCTCAGCCTTCTCCAGATCCAGAGTAGCCAGTTCTCCCGAGAGCTTCCTGAGGGGGCGTTGTGAGTGAGCTTGCTGCACGCTCTTCTCACTGTTCTGAGGATCTCGAACTCAACCATCCCATGATTGCTGCATCCAAGGCTGCCCTGGAAAGTCACATTTCCAACCATCCCTTCCCTGATGATGAGCACAAGGTCAAGCATGGCGCCTCTCCTTGTCGGGTTCTCTGTTCCTTGCAGGAGGAAGTTGTCTTTCACACAATTGAGGAACCTGCTTGATTGCTTGTGCCAGGCTGTACTGTCCCTCCAACAGACATCAGGGTGATTGAAGTCCTCCATGAGAGCAAGGACCTGTGTGCATGAGACTGCTTCTATCTGTTCATGGAGTGCTTCATCCACAGATTCCTCTTGATACAGGCGATCTGTAAACAGATCCCCACAGTAATGTCTCCCATAGCTCTTCTCCCTTTAACCCTGACCCACAAACTCTCTGTTCACTGCTCACCTGCCCCAGACAGAGTTCCATACTCTCCAGCCTATCCGTAACATAAACAGCAACTCCCCCTCTGCGCCTGTCAGGCCTGTCTTTTCTAAAGAGCCTGTAACCTTCCATTCCAGTATTCCAGTCATAGGAGCCATCCCACCATGTTTCTGTGATGCCTATAATATCATCTCCCCCTAGAGGAGCACACATCTCTAATTTCTCTTGTTTGTTACCCATGCTACAGGTGTTTGTATAGAGGCATCTGAATCGAGCTCCAAATAAAGCTGGCTCTTTGGCTGGAGCAGCTGGAATATCTCTACATTGCTCTGAGCATTTATTATAGGTGCTGGCAACTGACTGGGTATGTTGGGATGGAATGATGCCCCCCTTCCCCAAAACATTTAGTTTAAAGTATCCTTGACCAGTCTGGGAAGCCTCCTACCAAAACCAGCTCCACCAGCCCCCAGTAGACCTGGCCTCCTAAACTGGGTTCTGTGTTCTAAATACCCAAACCCCTGACTATGGCACCACCGTTCTAACCATTTATTAACCTGACCAATCTTCCAAGCCTTTTTAAGGTCCTCCCCTGTATCCTGGAGAACTGACAAAAACACAGTCTGAGCTCCAGAGCCCCTAACCACCTCTCAGAGTTCTGTAGTCCTTCTTTATGTTCTCCGACCTTAAAGAACATCCAGTTCCAATCCCCCTGTACTTGACAGGAGACACCTTCCACTGGACCAGCTTTCTGCAAGCCCCATTTGACCTGGCCTTGAACAATTCCAGGGATAGGGCAGCTACAGCCTCTCTGGGCAACCTGTTCCAGTGTCTGATCACCCACACAGTATAGAATTTCTTCCTAATATCCAATCTAAATCTACTGTCTCCATTCCCCCTTTTCCTGTCACTACATGCCCTTGTAAAAAGTCCCTCTTTAGATTTTTTGTAGGTCCCCTGTAGCTATTGCTCTGTAATGTCTTAAGCCTTGTCATACAGTATGACATAACAGCTTTCTGACCAAGAAGTCAGTTGAAAATCTGACAGATACTGTTTAGAAGACTTAGGAGATTGTGGAAAGGAGTACAGTTAGTTTTGAGGATTGAAAACTTTCTCAAGGTTTTGTGGACCTCTGTTTCGGTTTTCTTTCGGGTGGGTTTTTTTGTTTATTTTGGGGTTCTTTTTTGGTGTGGGTTTTTTCAACTTTTCCCCCCCCCCCTCCCCCCCAAATGCTGTTTCTGACAGTTTCTTTCTAGAATAAGATTTTTTTTTTTTCATTATTTTTTTTTTCCCCCTGAAAAGCTTGGGTCATTTTTATGAATGTTTTTTTAACTGTACAGTGTTCATGTGTTTTAGGAAAGGAGCAGTTTGATCTACTATATGGCATTGTAAGCATGAAAATATTGTTAGATTAGACCACACTGCATGGTACTAAAAATCAGTCACTGTCTCTTATGCTTCTGGAGATTTCTGTGGGTAAATGTCAATATTTAAATCAGGATGCTGTCACATCCGTCGTAACCTCCCGTTGCTGTTACATCACTGTATGGTCATGATGTCAGATTGGTCTTGGTGGCAAACCAACTTTTTCATCTTATGTTAAATAGGGTGATAAACAGGATTAATACATCAATTTTAAAACTTAATGTAAAAGAATTTAGTATTTACCCTTCAGGCTTTACATATTATCATAATTCTGGTCTCAGTAGTACGTATTTCTAGATCTGTATTCTGGACTTCTGTGTATTCAAAATGTTTTAAGGTTGCCTGTGGGTAATTTTGTTTGACTGCAGTAGGCCTCAACTAATTTTAGAGCAGAATGTTATGTACTTGTTGCTCTTTTAAACTGTTAGCCCCCAAACACAAGGAGGTTGACCATTGCTGTGTCATTACACAGTAATTAGGTTTGAATTATTAAGTCATTTTTCAAACCACCTTTGAAAGATGAAAAGCGGCAACAAGATTAGTATAAATCGGCTGGGTTTAAACCATGACATTGTGTAATACTGTTTCATACATTTTTTTGATTAACATAGTGAGAACCCACTTTTGTTTACACTGCTTTGGAATTAGGTGTGTTACATATCCACTTTTGTTTACACTGCTTTGGAATTAGGTGTGTTACATATGTTATGTGTGTTTTTAAAAATACTTTTGCTGTAATTTCTTTTCAGTATGAACAACCAGATTGTAGAGAAGATAGAGATTCCCAAAGCATTCAGGCACAATTACTAAGAGAAGAAATAGACTTTTGTGATGACTTTAGTGATGATGATATTCTGGAAACTTCAATGAAAAAATGCCACAGAAGGAAGCCTTGCAATGCAAATAGTTCAGTGGAAACCAAGGGACAGCTTTCCTTAATGCAGTGTGGATTCTCTAAGCTGTTGCAGAGAGAAGTTGAAGCTACCAAAGAAGAGGATAATAATTACGACTCTCATCATTCCAGTTCTGCTGATCAGACTTTAAAAACAAATGTAAATAGCAAACACACTGATTGTCAGGAATGTCAAAGCCATGTGTCTGTTTTGGAGCATGGGAACACTGATCACTCACCAGAAAGAACTGATAAACAAAATTTGTGTAGTATAGACTGTCTTATTTTATCAGGCTCTGAGGAGGAAGGGGACATAGAAAGTGTTGATCAAGGCATTTCAAAGCACAGTGATACAGTCATGAATACTGAAAACAGTTCTGAAGGTGATGATGATGATGTCATCTTTCCTACCCAAGTTTCAGCATGCCAGCAACCACTGCTTACTAAGAAAGTTGAATTATGCAGGTCAACATCTGAAAATTGTGAAGAGTTAGCAGAAGAAGATGAGTTTGTATTTAAGGAAGACAGTAGGCAATTTGGATTCCGTAATAGTGAGTCAAATTTCAGCAAAACTGTGTCTTTTGAGAACATCAAGAACCGTACAGGAGAATTGAAAGGAGCAAGTGATGTAAGTGACGAGTCCGATGATATTGAGATTTCCCATAATTCTAAATCAAGAAAGTCAAAAACTTGCAGCTTTCCGAAATGGAAAGAAAATACCCGTAACAGTGGACAAGGTAATGTCTCAAAACCTCAGCTACAAGCGAAGAAGCCCAATAGAAAAGAAAAGGAAAGTGATTCTCAGAATATAGATGAATTTTCATCCTCTGAAGATAACTTGCAAGTTGAGAAAACACACGCCAGAAAGCAAAGCTATAAGCGTAAAAACCAGAGAGGCAGAGTTCGGTTCGGGTCTAAAATACTCTATCCTATTCAAGATACCTCTGTTGCACAAATGAAGACTGGCAGTTACACTGTGTGTAGAACTTCTGCAAGTAAAACTGAATTTGAGCATCAGGAGCAGAAAGTGGAATCAATGGACAGATATTTAGGTAACTTTTTAATTTTTTATTTCTACTAAAGTAGTAACATATACTTAATTTAACATTGTTGGCAGGTTTAAAGTTCTTCCTGCTATACATGTTTTTGTTACAGGAGTAAGTGCTCTGCTAAATTATTTAGTGATATCTTTCTCTGTCATTTTTTAACTGCTAGCTTTACTTTCCTGTGTTCCCAGGTGTGGAGAAGCTTTGTAATACTTTGTTAAAAGCAGTCTGTTGAAAGATGCTCTGGTTGAAGATGTGTTAAGAATTCACAAATCTAGATACTTGAAATGTAAACCCTTAAAAGTCTTGACAGGGCTGATCATAAAAAGTAGATTTTAAAAAAAGTGATCTGGGAATTTGAAATACCATAGAGAAGATTTGGTTCTGTTAGAGACAACTTTATTAATATTGCAGACATTAAAGCATAGATGCTCTGACACTTCTTTGTCCATCTGAAAAAAAAACCCCACATTGAAATGAAAGCAGTATTAAACTATCTAAATAAATCTGAATAAGTCTAATGATTGTTGTTGATTTCATGGAGCTGAGAAACTTTGTGCTGGGTAAAATCATAGCAAATTTTACAACTCTGATTCTTTTGTTTGGTTGGTTTGTTGGGGGGGGGGGGGGGGGGGGTTTTTTAATTCCAGTATCCTTCAGTGCAACTGTATACCTTCAGAGTTTTGGAATAGTCACATCTTTGATTGTATCTTTCTCCTAATATTAGATGGTGTTCCAGAGGTGGCATATATTCATTCAAATCAGAATGTAGTTGGATCCAGCAAGGCTGAGAATCACTTGAGCCATTGGGCCGTACGAGACGTATTTGAGTTGAAGCAGTTTTCCCAGCTCCCTGCTAATGTAGCAGTCTGTAGTGCCAAGGTAAAGAGAATGTTTGGGAAATGTTGTTTTTACTTTTTGTTTAATCCTCATTTTTCATCTTAAGAAGCTCTAACAGACTTGTTATTCTCTTAATGACCACCATGAATGATCAAAGCCACTGAGGATGGGTGGAGGAGGAGGAGGTCTAATAAATTACTTTTGTGATTTGGTTTTTGGGGTGGTTTTTACATTGGCCAGCTCTGAAAGAGTTGGGAATTAAGCAGCCCAGCACCTTCTGTGGGATTTTTCTGTGAGAGAAATGGTTGGATTAGAGATTGTGTGTTTGAAATCAAATTCTATGCCATGTTTTTCTGATTTGAGGCTTGAAAAAATAAGTTTTCTCAACTTGGATCCAGTTAACAAAAACCCAGTTGCCACAGTGCATACTGGAATCTCTGTAGCATAGAGAGTTAAACATAAATCAGTTTGCAGGTTCTTTTGGGGAGCTTGTGAATGGGGGCAGTAGAGGGGACATGAAGTTGCTATAAATCAAATTGTCTATGTTTAAGGTCCGAAATGTAAAACTGGAGCTTACTGGGAGTGCTAATTTTTAGCAATGGATACGTTTTATGCTTTTTTGTTAGTCGTGCGTCTTGTTTAATTACATTTAGACTACATACAAATCTGGAATAAATTCAGATACAGCTTTCAGATTTTTGTTCTCATTACACAGTGGTTTGAATCTACTCTGATTATCTGGGCACTTTGTTGTTTGCCTTGTAATAAATATTTGCAGTTTCCTACACTGATTCTTAAGATAAACCACAAGCATAGAGTAAGGAATTGGTGAGTATGCAGTTTGGTCTTTACAAACATGTTAGCAATCATTATAGGAATTGTAGACATAGGACTGTGTTCTGGGGTGTTGGACATCCGCCGGAGGTAGCAGAGTTTCTTCCAGTGTTGTTTATGTACTGTATTTAATTAAGCCATTAGCAGGGATGCCAAAGAATTTTTACACTGGGAAGATCAAACCAGGCGAACTAGTAAAAGTGAGGTCTTTTCAATTCTAACATATTTGCATTAGAATATCCCTTATTAACAGAAGAGTTGGTCAGAAATACTCAGGAATACTGTAGAAAAGTACTTAATGTCAATGGCTCACAATATTATTAAAACTATATATAATTAGAAGGGAACTTTGAAGAGAGTACTTCGAGCAAATGTTTGTTGATCCACGGGTGTTCAAAACTAGTCTTTGACAGTTCATCTGTATTGTTCATGTGTCTTATATCTCATTATTTTACAGTTTGTGACTGCAGGTATAACAAATTAACTAGTCAACTAACTTGTCAGTGATTTTTTTCAGCGCTGCGTACTTTTCACCCAGAAGCAATAGTATAAATTCTCTTGGAGATCTTAGTAAAAAGAAAAATATCACTAATTATTAGGAAGGCTGCCTCTTCTTTCACTTCCTGTTCTTTCTGTTATATAGAGGCACTATCTAGAAACAATCCTGAGATGTCTGCCTATTCTTAAATGCAGAGCTTTGAATTTTTAATGTTCTTCTTAAAAGAAGAGCAGCTAGGGTATAGACAACTTTGAAATATGATCTTCTTAGAATATTATTACTACTATTTTCATTTTTTTCACTATTTTGCAAGGTGTTCTGTGAAAAACATGATCATTTTTGCTTTTCTGGCCATTGGTCTTTGCTGGTCATTTTTCACTTACCATCAGTTACGACATTCATTGTTAGAGTAACTGATTGCGTTACCATAAAGAGAATGGTGATTTCAAGTGAAGTTTAATAAAAAATAAACAAGTTTATAATAATAAATATTAAGCAAAGTGTAATAAATAATAAAACCTCATGTAAGAATGTTGGTATTTTGTTTATTTCTTGCTATTGACTAGTCATCGCATTTTGGCTTCGCTAAATTCTTATTAACTTTTATATTGTAATTTAAGCTCTTTAGTTTCAGTAACTAATTTATGGTTTTCTACCTGCAGTGGCTAAAAGGAGTATAAATCAGGTGTATTACTGCTTCCTTTTTTTTGAAGCATGGAGACTAATGCAGTCACTTGCGTTGTAAAGACTGCTTAAAACTGAAGCAAAATGCAGAACCTGTGCAAACACTTCCTTCAAAGTGAGAGAGGTTGTGTGGGAAGAAGATCCCTGAGAGCCAAGGTAGAAGGGACAGGTGCAAGGGTGTTCTGTTTCTTAAAAGAGAACTTTGAAGGTATGTAGAACATCTTGTTTAAGAACATGGTTAACTAGTGAATAAATAAGCTTTGGATTTAAATTGCTTCTAAAAATTGTAAGATTTGAACTTTTGGATAGAAAAAGGTGCTGGCCTTGGTGATAGTTTCTTTCCTTAACTTGGCTTTCCAAGGTCTGTGCTGGATCTGAACAGTTGGCACTAACGTAATTCAGCCAAATCTCTGTTAGCCTTTGAAACTGCAGGTTTCAATCCAGCGTACCTTGTTTAATCCAGTAATAAGTAGTGAGTCTGTCATTAATACCTGTGCTAGTATTCATATAGCCCAGCTACCTTTACTCTGAAGTCATAAAATACGTTATTTTAACCTGCTATTGTTCTGCACCTTTAAAGGTTTAATAGAACTTTTATGAAAAAATAGGTCTTGCTACTATTTCTTCTGTTCTTGCTTGCTTTATGCTCCAGGCTCCATGACAATTCTGGTACTTGGCTTCAAGATTGCTACAGAGCCTTTGACTCTTCTTTCTCCAGAGGTGGTAGGGAGTGAAGTCATATTTTCTATTCTTTTTTTGTTTTAAATCAATTGTGTAAACTGACAAGTAGTTTAGCTAGAATGTTCAAATTTACAGTATTGAATACTGTATGACTATTGAAAATACAGTGTAGGTAACAGCAACCAGAATATGAAGTCTGCTGTCAAGAAATGTACAACATCATGAGAACTCTCTCATAACTTACCAGCCGTGAAATGTGAGGTAAAATCTAACAGTAGTAACAGTATAAAGTATGCTTTAATTGCACAAGCAAGAGAATAAACCGTATTTTGGTTGAATATCATTAGTCAAATCCTGTTTAGCATTTGAATTAAAGGAAATTATTTGAAGATAGTTTGTATATGCTGATAGTAAAAGGAAACAAATGTGAAAGCTTTTCCTTTTTTTTTTTTTTCTTAATTGTAAGATCCTGAAGAAAGGAAAATTAGCTTGTGTTTTGGAGTATATTCCTTTCATCACAGAAATCCATGGGACTGCATGAAAGTAGAGGATTCTGTAGCTGTTAGGCAAGTAGGAGTAGCGTTTTCAGTGAAGAGAGGTAATGTTGTCTGTTACGGAGATGGCTTTCGTAAGTCCATCTACATTAGCAGAGATCAGCTTATACCTTATTTTGAAAGTATAGTGGGGAGAGCATTTAATAGTTTTGGGGGGTTTTAGGTAGACATGGCATTTATATAATGATATCCCTTAAATGTAGAATGCTTAGAATTACAGTAAAATATTTTAACTTATGACTGACAGTTCCTGAACTGTATGTATTATCACGTGTCTGAAGATTGTTTTCTGACCATTGTCTGCAACTGGCTGTGAAATCAGTGTAGATTTTGAGAAGGACATAGTGAAGTATGATAATCTTCTCTCAAATAGTTGATGTTTCTGGTAGTGCTGCATATGTAGGAGATGCTGAAGCACCAGTAATTAGAGGTGTTTAAAAGCCTCAGTGATCAAAACCAAACCAGGAATTTTTGTTTTGTGCAGAGTCTGACAGAAAGCTGTTCCTGAAAAAATTCTGGAGATACAGTTTATACTGTATTATAGTCTAATAATACATCTCAGCTTCCGTAGTTCTAAAAACCTGTTGGATGTCCCAGAACCCAAGTGTCTTAGAAAGGAGACAAGTGTGTCTCTTTTCAATTGAAGATCTCTGGCTATTTGTAATCTTTTGTAGTAATCTGTAACTGTTAAGGCAGAAGTTATGGTCAGATCCGTGATGCATGATGTGGGAGAATTCATGCCAGGCTTCAGTATTCTAAACATCTGAGGGCAGAACATGCACATCATTTAGCGTGGAAGATAGCCACTCCAGTAAAAGTTACTGAGAGGTGGGTTTTGTTGCTTCCTTACGCAAATGACCACAAAACACCCTTGAAATTCTATTTCACAAATTATTCAGAGGAAGGGTTTTCTGGTCCTCATGTAGATGTGTGAGGAAAGATTACATTAAAAGTTAAACTAGTGGAATAATTAACTTGTTTTTTCCTGTATTATTTTATTCGGTTTAGCCTGATTTAATGACACTGAGTTATCTGTGTTCTACATTTTAATTTAAATTCAGGTCTTCTGTTTACATGTGTGTCCAAATAGGCATTGTTAAAAATTCATTTTTTTTCACTGAATAAGTGAGAGATTGTCTGTATTGCCCCATGACTATCTGTTAAGAAGATAGCTGAAATCCAGAGTGAAGAACAGTCTTGTGTAACTACAGCTATAAGAACGTCAAAACCAAAAGTTTCGAAAAGAAAACACATGAAATGAGCCTGCAGACTGGATATGGCAGATTTAAAAAGCCAGACTATAATTTTGAGAGCAGATCTACATGTAGTTCAGCCTTTCAAGGTGGGGGTGGGGGGAGACAGAAGGGGAAAGGGAGGAAACCACACCAAACCTTGAGATATTCATGTGATATTTTGCTCAGAATTATTCTGACATTATTATTGGGGGGGGGAAAAGTGTTAAGAACTTTTCTAAGACCATAGGTGTCTACTAAGTATTTTTAGGGGCTTTAAGTTTTTGATCCTTTTTTCTGATGAGTTCCATGTTCCAAAGGAACCTGGATGATTTTCACTGCAGGAGGTCATTACTTACTTTGGTTTTGCACTCCTTTTTGTGAAGCTTTTTCTTAGCTGACATAGGAAATAAAAGCCTCCTGAAGTCAACAGATGCCTTCTAATGTTTCTAGTCTATTCTGAATTAAATGACTACATTCCTTAATTTCCTAATTAATTTCTATGTTAATTGGCAAAAACAGCGTATGTGAAATGTTTTACACAAGTGCATAAGTTCGGACTAGGCTTTCTGTCATTCCTGTAAGGCTGAATTTGAGTAGTATTTCTTCAGTAAGAATCTGGGGGATTGGAGCATGGGGATGACTTTGGAGAAGGCCTGGAGGCTTCACAAAAAAGACACAAAATGGGAACAGGCATACTAAGTAATTCGAAAAACTGATGATGTCCTGCATTAAAGCTAATTTGCACCTTTTAATATGTGGAAAAATATTAGTCACAAGAACTTGTGCTGTACCTGTTGAATATGTGGAATCTTTTTTTCCTTTTTTTTTTTCTTTTTCAGTCAACTGCATGTTTTCAACTTAAGTTTACTTAAAGTTTTACTGAAAAGAAATGTACAAAGACAGCCATTCAATTGAGGATTAATCACTATGGCAACAGAAATGTGGTGACTGAAAAGGGGGAGGATGTATTCTCCCCTCAGCTTCCTGCCAGCTGTCATATTCAACCTCTGCGGCATGAATTCAGGCCAAAATATAGACTGTGACCAGCTCTAAGAAACTATATCTGTATTTTTATAAATTCGTACAAGAATTGCACTATAAAAGAAGACTTAATCCTCTGAATTGGATGACAGACATTTGGCAGTCTTGCCAGTGTTTGACAGAGAAATAACGGGATGCTTTGTAGTAAAACCTGGATTAATGGTAAACCCCTCTTTATGTTATTGCAATGTGGTGTAAATGAGAGAACTAAGCATGCTGTCAGCCTAGGAAAAAACGTGCCCTTTGTATCTCCAATGCAGATTTAAGTGCTGTTGAGAATACTGTAAATACTAAAGTTGTGTCATTAAGAACTCCTCTTTATCTTATTTGTATTACATTGACATTTTGTAGATTATTTAAACAAAGACTTCTACCAGCTATGGTAACTCTGATTGCAGTGTGTTTGCACAGCTTTCAAATTCAACAACTTAAGATAGTTGTTTACAAAGAGTAGGCTTTTGAGAGATAACATGCCATTATCCTTGCTCTTCTAGGATGGGGAATGCTATTCAGCTTTAAAATAATTGTTCCCAAATGATTGGCCTGTAATGCTGTTTTATTGAGTTTACTGTTTCAGTTTACAGAGGAATTAACCATTTCAGTATGTCTTTCAGTTGTTTTATTTTCTTTTTTCTTAAATGCAGTGAGTCATATATGGCATGGAATCATAGAATGGTTTGGGTTGGAAAGGACCTGAATATTATCTAGTTCCAACCCTACCACCATGGGCAGGGACACATCACACTAAACCATGTCACCCAAGGCTCTGTCCAACTGAGCCTTGAACAGTGCCAGGGATGGAGCATTTACCACTTCCTTGGGCAGCCTGTTCCAGTGCCTCACTACCCTCATCCTGTGAATCATGTAGTTGCATTTTTATATGATGTATTTGCATGGTTTTTGGCTCTGCTACTGTTTGATGGAGGAATGAGGGGGTGAATGAAAGTAGGTGCAAGCCCACTTCTGCTGGAGTGAGCGATTACCTTAGTTTTGAATTCTGAGGCAGGCTGATTATGTCCTCTCATTCTCAACAGTAGTAGTAACTGTGTTGGTTCATGGTCAAGTTTTTGGTGCAAGAAGGTGGTACGCCTTATAGGAATTCTTTTTGTTAAAGAGTCAACAATTTAAATAGAACTGCTCCCCGTGAGAAATTCTTGCTTTGTTATGTGATTGGACTAAAAACAGAAGTAGATGTGAAATAGAACACAGTCTATCTTCTGTTGACTTAGTAGTTGATTCTCCACCACCAAGCAGAAGGTTAGAGTTCATGGAATGTCCTTCGACTCAGTTTGTACAAGCAGAAAAGCTAGATAAGACAACCTGGCAAAAAATAACTATGTATTACTCTGATAAAATTTCTTTACTTTTATCAGCAGGTATAGCTGGTCTCTGGGTGTTGGCAGGGTATTTTGGAGAAGTAATTCAGATCCAGAATAAGCCAAACAGTTTTTGTAGCTATTGGCCTGCTGTTATACTATCAAATATTAGAAACATTTGTAGTCATAGCCAACATCCTGAGTATTTGTTTAATTCAGAAAGCTTGGGTATAAATGTGATTGTCCTAGAGTAGTCTAAAATTTTTAAGCAGTTTAGCTTCACTTTCTACCACAATTGAGGTATTGACAGTTAGCTATACAATTACCTCTAATACTTATTTTGCAATCTTGTTTTCTTAGAACAGTAGACAAATTCAGTCTTGGACTGCTTTTCAATTAAGAAAGTTAAATTCAGAGGGAAAACTAATGTCCACATCAGAAATAGTCTTAAAATATCATAAGATTCAGGCTTATTTCATACAGCGAAATGGGTAACTAGCCATAACCATCCAAAGCTGTAACTTAGCTTCGTTTAGTATAGCGTGTTTAGTAGTGTGTCCTCTGTAATCAGAAAAGCAATTCTGTTTCATTTAAGAGTCAGGTAAAAGTAGAAAAAAACCTTACTATTTGACAACTTTTTTTATTGTTTTCACCATGTGACCTCATTTTTAGAAAAACTACATTAAGTTTTATGTGGACACTTATACTTCATCTTCTTTAGCATGCAGAATAATTTAAGAAGAAATTCTTGTTTGACATGTGTAGATGCATAAAAAAGAAGGAAAGCAGACCAGGAAGAAACAATCAGGTAGCAAATGTTTCAGGGTATTTATCTATGTCCCAACAATTAGAGAAGACATAGGTAAAATAAAAGCAATATCTAGGACTAGAGCGTATGTTCGTGAAAAGCATGTAGAAAGGTGATAATAATTCATAAATATTCCCAGTGGCAGGAGTGGGGGGGGGGAATTCAGCAAAAACTGTGAAGGGAAAAAGATTAGCTGAAATAACTTAGAATTGTAATTTGGGTAGATAACTGGAATGGAGTAAGTATCACTTGATCAAAATAATAACAGTTATCTAAAACTATTGCAATTTGTGATATATCTGCAAAGTCATATGTTTTCTCAAGTTTTGAGGAGAGTGGGAAAATACGAAGTAGAATATATAGCATAAGGGTTTGTTACTTGCTTGTAAGCTGCATTTTAAGAGGACAGTCATACTGAATTCACTGTGCTTCATGCTTTTGAATGATTTAGATGACTTGCAAGGCAGCTAGAGATTTGAGAAGGCTTTTCTTGTTTATTTTAGAAATGAAAACAAACAAACTGCAGTGGAAAGTATCTTGGATGTCTGGCAGTAATGGTTTCATGCATACCTGAAGACAAAAGCCTGTTAACCCTGTTTCAGCTGTGAGTGGGGAAGTCAGTGAGGGTTATTGCTGACTGGAAGTCAGTATCTGCTAAGATACTTACAGTGGTGATACTTCGGATAGTCAGGCAGTAAAACCATTTTGTGATTCTAAAACAGAGAAAGATGCTCAGACACAGTGCAACTGTGGCAGAGGAATCATTATGCAAGCATGTTTTCAACTTCATATTCAGGCTTTTGAAGGAAGTTCATTATCCTCTAAGGCTGGTGATTTGAGGAATTAACCGCAAATGTGGCACAGTTTAAAAACCAAGTATTTCTGAATCTCCGTTTCTCTTTTTCTCTACTCATCTTGCTCCTGGCCTCTGCTTACTTACTCTCCCATACATTTTCATCATGCTGTATGTAAAATGATGAATATTGTTTTCGTTTGCGTTGCTTGCAAGGGATGAAGAGAGGAAAAAGGAAGTCATAGGCTGAAGGTGGCCAGTCATCTCAGTAATGTCTGAGGGTGCTTATACATGGATTATCATTCATTGTTCCAGAGCATAGAACTACTTCATAATGCCTGTAGGAAGAACAGATACTGAAGGTTTGTACTTCAAAGATATGCAAAAGTTGGGTTTGGTGGGTGTATACTCTTTTTAAAATTATGCTGTAGGAAAGACTGTTACACAGAGCTAACAGATCCAGGAGTTGTTGCAGGTTCAAGTTGCAATCTCTAAGTAAAAAATACTCCTGCATTCTGGCACTTAAATTTTTGCTTGATGCTCAGCTGCGTGTCTTCCTTCTGCTTGAAGACCATTACCCTTAACTGTGAACTGATGTGGAACTCTAAATGTGCAGATGCTACCATTTTGCTGGACTCTTGATTACAGCCTGTATTTAATATGCAGTTCAAATAAATGGATGCTCATAATTGGTATCCAAAGGCTGATATATACTTTTAAGAATAAGCTACATAAACAATGAAACAAGAAGGAATGAATGGAGGAAAAGATCTGCTGTGGCAGGAAGATAGAACATGTTCATGTTGGAAACCTATAGACTAAATGGAACATGAAAACTGAAAACAAATGCTTGCTTTGAAGTATTCTTTCATGTGTGGTAAGAGTCCCTAGGTTTTCTGAATAGTTTAAAAACTATTTTCTGCACAGCTATGTAACAATCCCACTTCTTTCCCATTGTGATATATGGAAAGCCTCTTCAGAATATGTGCAGTAAATGAGGGGGTGATGGAATAAGGAAACAAGTGTAAATCAGGAAGGAATGACTGAGTTTCTACATGCTGTTTTCTGTGGTTTACACAGCACTTCACAATTTCACTTTACTGTATATAGTCATGAACTTTATTTCTTTACATTAACAGGTATGTTTTCAGTAGTGTCACCTTTTCTCATGTAATTTTTTGAATCCAAAACATGTTGCCTTCTACTAAGCAACTTGCATGGGTGGCCTTTCTCTTATATGTATGCACTTTAAATTGCTTCTTCTGAACTTTGTGTGAAGGTTTTTCCCATGGAAGTGTAGAAAGTTGACTAAAGTAGTAAAAACGTTACATTCAATAATTCAATCAAAATATTTTATCTTTGTCAAAGAAATTATTTTGCTGCACCTTTTTCCCCCACTGAAGTACTGTATTGAGAAAGGAGAAAATATGAAGAATACCAAAATGTGTAATGGCGTTAATAATATATAGATAGATACGACTGAGAAGTAGGTGGACAACTTTAAGTGAAACTTTCCCAGTTTCAGCTGTGGAAATTTTGTACATGCACCACAAATGTTATCTTTAATGTAGTTAAATATTTGGCAAAGACTGTTTTCATGATTGCTGTCAATTTTTTTGTAAAAATTATTTTAAATTACATATAGCAGACACTATAAGTAAAAGTAAGCTGAAGTATTTCTTTAGTTTTGTGTCATGTATTTCAGAATGCTAATCAGAAGATGCGCTAGGTGCAGCACATGAAAAAGTTTTAACAGTACATATGTGTATGGTATAATATTTGCAAGAATAGTTTTGGATTTTGATACTATGATTTTACTTGTCATTCAGAGTAGCTTGGCCATAATAATGTCTTTGAAACTTCGTAAGCATATTTATATTTAGAGTGAGAAAAACATGCTACTACTTATTTTGGTACGGGATGGAATTTTAATTCCGGGAGAAAGAATTTGGGTCAGTAATTGTGCCCTTTCAGTTTCTTGACTAATTCTCTTCTCCTGTGTTAAATTTGTTAAATTTTTTGGGTTGTTTTTTTTTTTTTTACACTAAAAAGTTGACCTGTTCTCAATTGTCCTTTCTTTCTTCCTGTGGAATCAGTTTCAGTTTCTTTATAGTCCTGAGATATGCTTAGGTACTAATCACTAGCATCTTTACAATAATGATTTGAAAACACTGCAGTCAGATCTTATTAAATTTTTCTTTCACAAAGTTCAGCAACACTTGCACTTACCTAACTCTGTTAATTAGTATATACTATTTTCAGTTAAACAACTATTACACACACTTCTAAATGTACAGAATACGTCTTGTGTTGAAAGTTTTTTTGTTTCACTATTTTATTCTTTGTCATAACATTTATTCATAATGAGTCTGGACATTCAATAATTTAAACAGGTAAACGTGCTAGTATCAGTAGTGTAAGAACGACAGTCAGAGGTTCTTAGGTCAATCAAATTGTACTAATGTCTATTTTGCTTTGCAAGATTGTCTTATGCATATGAGATACATGATAATTCAGGTGAATGTAACCAGTTCTGTAAGGTCAACATGGGATTTCATATAGGAGCAAATAATGGGGACACACACACAGTAGTTTGGTAGACAAGTAGTTGAAGAACAGAATGTAGAAAGCTTGTGAAAGGAAATTTTCATCATTAAATAGATTTCAGTTGTTGTGTTAGAAGTTAAAAAAGAATCAGAAATTGGCTATAGGAGAGAAGAATTCAGGAGAATAACAGATGAAGTTGAATTCAAAAGAAAGCAAAATAGTGTGGAATGTTCACTGAAGTTTTCACTTTCTTTAAAGGTAATACTAGTAGTCCTTTCATCTGTGTGTGTAAAAACTTTCCTCTATCTAGACCCTCATCCACGTATTGCTCAGAATAGTAAACTTCAGATTTGACCTTCAGTTTTTCTTAAGATGTCTCTGTGTTCTCTAAGTGTTTTGATTCTACTGACAAAATGTTTATTATTTTTTAAAAATAAATTACTGGATTTGGAAGTTGGGAGCTGGATTAAGTTGGCAAACTTTCTAAAACATTAACAAGATCAACAGAGCCAGTTGTGTTTCAGCCATTTAATGGGAGCCATTTAACTAACTGGCTTTGTTCCAGAGAGCTGAGATAAATTTTTCAGGAGAAATTCACATTGGCCATGAGCTTCCACTGGCTTTAGCTGCTCTAGCTCTTGGGGTAACTTGTTTATAGTCACTTTATCTTAAGAAAAAGCTTAGAGCGGCTAATTCAGGTAGAAGAGGAGGAGCTCTTTGTGTGTATATGGTGGTATTTTGATTTGCTTTCGGGTGTGGCAGTGTGGGTCAATGTGCTCAAATTTTGTACTTCCAAAACTAAATATACCATTTGTGAGTTTATTTGCAATTAGTGGTACTTTTTACATTAATTCTGGTTCCCTGCAAAAACAAGCAACTTTATGACTTTCAGTGCATTTACAACATTTGGCTTTTTTCCCAAATAGATTTTTAATCTTCTGTGTTTAAACAGATGCATAAACCAAAGTATTGCTGCCTCATATACTTTGGTCTTGTTTAATAAGGGGTAGATGGATACACATATAAGGGGATATAAAATACTTTAAAGATAGGCATTGGCATAGAATCATAGAATAGTTAGGGTTGGAAAGGACCTTAAGATCATCAAGTTCCAACCCTCCTGCCATGGACAGGGACACCTCACTCTAAACCATATCACCCAAGGCCTCGCCCAACCTAGCCTTGAACACTGCCAGGGATGGAGCATTCACAACCTCCCTGGACAACCTATTCCAGTGCCTCACCACCCTAACAGGAAAGAATTTCCTCCTTATATCCAATCTAAACTTCCCCTGTTTGAGTTTGAACCCATTACCCCTTGTTCTTGCATTACAGTCCCTAATGAAGAGTCCATCCCCATCATCCCTATAGGCCCCCTTCAGATACCGGAAGGCTGCTATGAGGTCTCCACGCAGCCTTCTCTTCTCCAGGCTGAACAGCCCCAACTTTCTCAGGCTGTCTTCATATGGGAGGTGCTCCAGTCCCCTAATCATCCTCGTGGCCCTCATCTGGACTTGTTCCAACAGTTCCATGTCCTTTTTATGTTGAGGACACCAGAACTGTACACAATACTCCAAGTGAGGTCTCACGAGAGCAGAGAGGAGAGGGACGGAATCAACTCCTTGGACCTGCTGGTCATGCTCCTTTTGATGCAGCCCAGGATACGGTTGGCTTTCTGGGCTGCAAGCGCACACTGCTGGCTCATGTTCATTTTCTCATCGACCAGCACCCCCAAGTCCTTCTCTGCAGGGCTGCTCTGAATCTCTTCTCTGCCCAACCTGTACCTTTGCCTGGGATTGCTCCGACCCAGGTGTAGGACCTTGCACTTGGCATGGTTAAACTTCATGAGGTTGGCATCAGCCCACCTCACAAGCATGTCAAGGTCCCTCTGGATGGCATTCCTTCCCTCCAGCATATCAACCGAACCACACAGCTTGGTGTCATTGTCAAACTTGCTGAGGGCGCACTCAATCCCACTGTCCATGTCAGCGACGAAGATGTTGAACAAGACTGCTCCCAACACCGATCCCTGAGGGACACCACTCATTACTGGTCTCCAGCTGGACATTGAGCCATTGACCACAACTCTTTGTGTGTGGCCATCCAGCCAGTTCTTTATCCACCGAGTGGTCCACCTATCAAATTGATGCCTCTCCAATTTAGAGACAAGGATGTCGTGTGGGACAGTGTCGAACACTTTACACAAGTCCAGGTAGACGACACTAACTGCTCTACCCCTGTCCGTCAGTTCTGTATCCCCATCACAGAAGGCCACCAAATTGGTCAGGCAGGATTTCCCCTTGGTGAAGCCATGCTGGCTGTCACCAAGCACCTTGTTGTTTTTCATGTGCCTTAGCATGCCTTCCACGAGAATCTGCTCCAAGATTTTGCCAGGCACAGAGGTGAAACTGACTTGTCTGTAATTCTCTGGGTCATCCATTTTCCTCTTCTTGAAAATGGGGGTTATATTTCCTTTTTTCCACTTGTCGGGAACTTCACCTGGCTGCCATGATTTTTCAAATATGATGGCCCGCGGCTTATTCATTTGCCAGCTCCTTCAGGACCCGCGGATGGATTTCATCAGGACCCATGGACTTGGGCCTGTTCAGGATTTTAAGATGGCCTTGAACCAGTTCCTCTCCTACAGTGGGCCCAAGGTCTTCATTCTCACAGTCCCTGCATCTGCCTTCCAATACTTGGGTGGTGCAGTCAGAGCCTTTGCCAGTGAAAACCGAGGTAAAGAAGTCATTCAGAACCTCAGCCTTCTCCAAATCCTGTATAGCTAGCTCTCCCGAGAGCTTCCTGAGGGGGCCTACCTTCTCCCTAATCTGTTTTTTATTTGCTATGTACCTGTAGAATCCCTTCCTGTTATCCTTAATTTCCCTAGCCAAGTTTAATTCTAACTGGGCCATAGCTTCCCTAACCTGGTCCCTAGTTTCCCAAACAATGTCTCTGTATTCTTGCCAGGCTGCCTGTCCTTGCTTCCACTTTCTATAAGACTCTTTTTTCATTTGAATTTTCCTCCGGAGCAACTTACCCATCAAAGGAGGTCTCCTGGTCCTCCTCCTGCACTTCCTTCTAGTTGGGATGCAACACTCCTGAGCTTGTAGCAGATGATCCTTGAAGACCAACAAAGAGTCTTGGGACCCCCTGCCCTCTAGGGCTATATCCCATGGTACCTTACTAAGCAGGTTCCTGAAGAGGCCAAAGTCTGCTCCCTTGAAGTCCAGGGCAGTGAGCTTGCTGCATGCTCTTCTCACTGTCCTGAGGATGTCAAATTCAACCATCTCGTGGTCACTGCAACCAAGGCTGCCCTGGAGTGCCACATTTCCACCGAGCCGCTCCCTTTTGGTGAGCACGAGGTCAAGCATGGCACCTCTCCTTGTGGTTCCACTATTACTTGCAGAAGGAAGTTGTATTCTATGCAAGTTACGCTTGCTTGAATTAAATTAAGAGTCCTGATTTCATGACAGACTGATAAATGCACTGGGTCTTGTCATAGTGAGATCTGAACACTATGAATATATTTCATGCAAAAATTCCATCAAAATAAACATGTCTTAAACCTAGCATTACTTTTTTCTTTTACAATAAATTTTACAAGTAAAGTTCAGTATTATCTGTTTGTATCTTAATAATAATTTTTAAACATCTTTAATGTATACAGACCTGGCAAAATAACTAGAATATTTATGCGATAATTAACATCTGCTAATTCAATTTTAATTTTGCTACCATCATCATAACATTATTGGGAAAATAGGGTTTTAATCCTAATTGGAACATTTGTTTTGGTTTTGTGTAGTGTTTTTAATAATGAAGTGAAATGTTCATCTTTGGAATTGTGCATTTAGCTTTACAAGTGCTAATTTATGCCTGTAGGTCCTTTAATATTAACTCTGTGTATTCTAGTTTGAGGTTACTTGCCAAAGTAATGGATTGAGAACAGACGTGAGATCCTAAAGCTCAAGAACGTTGTGAACAACCCTTGGAAGTAAAGGCAATGGATATGGATCAAATAGAAACACATTGGGAAGAAACACTATAGACCCAAACCCAAATTTTGAACTCCAAATGACAAGTTGTGAACATAGGTTGCGTGTTCATCTCTGAAGTAGCGTTAGTAGGGAGGCTGAGGATATCACTAAGCAGTCATTTTTTCCCCCTAACTCATTTGAGAAAAATAAATTTAAAGGTGGTGGAAGAAAAGTTGCTCCTCTGTTGTGTTTTGGGGTTTTTTTTCCTCCTGTTTTTCCCTGCTTTTCAAACACATTATTTAGTTTTCATATTTCTTTTGGCTTACCTTTTGGCAAAGGGGAATTTTCTGAAAAATAAGGTGTAAATAGGATTATATTTTTCAGTGACTGTCAATGCATGATGAGTTGATCTGTAGGATCTTCTTCAAGTCTTCTTGAGTTTGATTAAAACATTAGCTTTTTGTTGTATTTGAAATTGGCGTTCTTTATGTAAGAAGCGTTGTGTGGTTGTTAGTGTCTTAGGCTTGCCAGTATTATGAGTGTAATGTTCCATTTTTTTTCTGTTCCTTTACATGTGAGTATAGTGATACCTTTTCCAAAAGTATCACAATTCTGAGTAAGTGTGTGTATGTTAAAGATTATGATCCTGACAAATTTTTCACTTATCTTGGTATCTTTGAGTGGCATTGTGATTAATTTTAGCTTTCTTTTTCTCTGAGTGTAAGCTATTGACACAGGCATTTTCTATTTTATAGCAATATTTGGAGGTTGTAACTGGCCTTTGGGTCCCACAGTACAGGATTAAGCATTTCTATAACCCCTGGTTTTGCATTAGATTACTCAGATACTTTCCATTTAGCCTTAAAATTAACCTGTTTGAAAAAATATCTCACTTTATTCTTGGAGAACCAAGACTGCCGTCGGTGTCTCTGAAAGTTTGTGACTGAGTTAGGGAGTCTACACTGCAGCCCTGAATCCCTGGTCTTAGCATTCAAATCATAGAGTGCTAGCTAATAGTGCCTGAAGTGGGTGCAATAGATCTTATCATTATGTTGGAGACACAGTGTTTTGACGATTTCCATGTCTCATTTAACTAGAGAAATGAAGACAACACAGCAGAGAAGAGCATTATGAAGGGACGACAAGAAATGTTGGCAAACAATAATCGACACCACCTGTATGTTATACATCCTGTGACCCAGAAAAACAAAAAAGTACACAAAAAAGGTTCAACCACCTTCTTGGTTGGGAAGACACCTGAAGGAATCCGCAGGTGAGACTGTTTTAGTGAGATGGAAGTAAAATCCTAAGGCTGAAACTAATCTCCTTGTGAGGAGTTGCTTTTTCCTTTGTTTCAACCATAGTCGTAGAATACTGATTATTTTCTATGGCAAGAGCAGAACAAATGGGAAACTTCCACTCACATTGCACAAAGAGTACCACAATTGATTAATAAGATGAACTGAACCCACAAATCACTTTAACATGTTGATTCAATGTTTCATATATTACAGAACTGTGCAGTTGTCATCACCATGAGTGTTCATGCTATGTGCATCATACAGTACTACAAACCAATGTTTAAACTGGAGAGAAACAAGAAATTTTATAGTGTGAACTTCTGACTGCCTACTGGTTTTGTTCTGATCTCATCACTTTCTTTGAAAGACTATTGAAGAGCACTGGACTTTAATGGGATTTTTAACATAGGTCTTAATGTTATTTAATATTTGATTTTATTGGCCCCCTAATATTTTGAAGGATAATAGTTTTTCTGTCTTTGTTTTGCCTTTTACCCCCAGGTCTTGCTATTATAAATATTTAAATTCCATTGGTATATAGATAGAAGTTCAAGAACAATAGCCAGGTGGTATGTGGAAATAGGAGAAAGCTGTAGCTAACTAGGCAAACCTATAGAACTGGTATTTGGTATATATATTCAGTTTGGCCTTGAGACAGTTAGATTACTATACAATAGTTATGTACCTGGGTGATACCTGTTAATGTTCAGAATCTGTCTTATTAGCCATCTAGCTTTAGCTGTACTGTTATTGTTGAAGTGCTAGACTTGCTTACTATTATAGCTCTTGCAAAAAAGCTTAAAAGCATGCTCAGTCTTAAATGTTAAGCAGGTCATCTGTTAACACGTGGCTTGCAGTTACTTTGTGGTGCATCTGAATGTGCTGTGCAATTAATGAGGATTATTAGATGCCTCAGTTTGTGTTGTAAGGCAGAATGGGAAGCCGTTTACAGTCACCGCATCACAAAGGATATAGTTGGAGCTAGCCAGTCAATTAGTGTTTGAGTCCAGAAGGGGTTGAATCTCACTGCCTGTTGGAGCCCTCATACAGGAAAGGTAACACGTTTCATATTCGTTCTCTGACAAGGGAGCTTAAACGCGCCTCTCCAGCCTTCCAGTTAGGTTAACAGTCTCTAGGTGATGGCTAACTCAGGGTAATTTCCTTTAGTTAGAGCTTGGCCTCTCAGCAGAAACAAATACTCTGTAGCTTACTGAATAGGATGGAGGTACAGTCCCTGTCTCCTGTGAATGTGTTTATCCAGCTGTTGTTTAGCAAGTAATTTAAAAGGAGTTTGAGCAGCTACTTCCTTCTTCCCTTCCTGTCACCTCTCCCCACTAAAGTAGGAAGCTGCTTTCAGTGATTACTTTCTGGGATATGTGAAGTAGGAGAATTGAGTGAATGGCTTGAAAGCTGCTTTTGTTTCTAGTTAAAGGTATCAAAATAACATTTTTCCCTGTTAATTACAGGAGACAGTTTGAGGAAATGGTGTCCCACTTTAATATGGGATCAGCAGAAGAACTTGCAGAACATATTGTAAAAGCTACATCAGAAACAAGGCAGATGATGTTGAGGGAATTCTATATTTCGAAGTATCCAGAGATGGAGTCTTTCTTCCAAACTGAAATATTAGCACAGTCTTCACGTGACTGTGAAGAAAGAGAATTGGGTACAACACACTCCAAAAAAAAATCCATTGTTAATTTTGGAAGATCTAAACCTACACCTTCATCAGCTAAAGGACTACCTCGGAGCAGAACTACAGAAACACAGAGCCAGCAGAGCCATAAAGTAAAAGTAGAGCAGCTTCACAATGACTTGTACTTGCAAGATGTGTGTGTTGATGCAAAATATAAACAATCGCCCACTGTTGCTACTCAACATATCGAAAGGAGAAACAGTCAAGCATTCAAGGATTTTATGGCATCTGGCTCATTAAGCAATAAATCAGAAATAATTGAGGTGCTGCCTATAAAAAGTTGTGAAGGACAGCAGGACTCAGAAGGAACACAGCTGCCAAGAAAAAGATGCCTGTCTCAGTCAGCAAATGGGGATAGAAAAGCTCATACTTGTAAGAAAAAGTCTTTTGTGGACTTACTTGGAGATACTTCTATTCTCAATGACCTCTTCAGAAATGATGGAAGTGGGCCTAGAGACTCACTAAGGAGATTCCCTTCAGGGCAAGTAGAAAAATCAAAGGAGAGACCAAAAGATTTCTGGGACATGCTGAATGATCAGAATGAGGAGAACCTCAGAAAGCTCACAGACATAGCAGTTGTAGAGAAGCTATGTGAAAAAGCAGCTCCTCCCCCAGTGACAGAAGAGAGAGAAGTGCATGAAAGTTCTCTTTGGAAAAAAAATGAAAATTTTCTATGGAAAAAATACAGTCCAGATGATTCAGATGAGCCATCTACTGCTACATTTTGTAGTGCAGTAAAATGAGAGTTTTCTATGTGACTTGCACTATAATTATTTTATTTGAACATTAAAATATCCACAGCTTCAGCAGTATTCAGCAAAATATAACTTCATGAGATTAAAGGCAAAGTGATGAAGTCATGATATGGATATGCATTTTACAGATATGTATATATATGTTATTACCTATGTATTGTACATATATGCATAGTAGTACATAAATACTATATATTGTAAGTTATGATATATTAATTTTAAATTAAACTTTTTTAAGTGTTTTGAGTGCATTTTTTTTCTTGAATTCTGTTTATTTCCTAGACTCAGTAGCAGTACTTTTTCCTGTTTAATTACATTTGGATATCCTCAGTCATCAATGTAGAACCTAATGATATTAGCAGGATTTGACTGTGATATTTCACATAGTTTCTCAGCTGCCAGAGACTCAGGGACTTCATGAGATCGGAATGATATCTTTGTGTCTTAATATCTTTCGCAAATTTTTTTATTGTCTTATAATACATAAATTAGAGTAGACACAGCAGTTAGCTGCCTGAGGGAATTTCAAGAACCTATACGATTATAGAATCAGGGCATGGTTTTTGTTGGAAGGACCTTCAAAGATCAACTAGTCCCAACCCCAGTAGTGTGGGTGGGGACATCTTCCACTAGACCATGTTGCTCAAAGCCTTCTCCAACCAGGCCTTGAACACTGCCAGGGACCACAGCTGCCAGGGTTGCACAGCTGTTCTGGGCAATCTGTTCAAGTGCCTTACCACCCTCGTCATTAAAAAAATCTTGTGTCTAATCTAAATCCACCCTCTTTCAGTTTAAAACCATTACCTCTTGTCATTACTGGCTGTTGTAAGAAAGTCTTTCTCAGTCTTCCTTATAAGCCACCCTTAAGTATCGAAAGGCCACAGTGAAGTCTCCCTAGAGCCTTCTCTTCTGCAGGCTGAACAACCCCAATTCTTCCAGTCCAGCCCTCTGGCCGTTTTCATGGCGGTCCTCTTGACCTGCTGTAAAGAGGTCCATGCCTGTTTTATGCTGGGGACCCCATATCTGGATGTTGTACTCCAGGTGGAGTCTCATGAGAGTGGACTTAGAGGAGAATTACTATCCAAAATTGCTACCTGGAGGACCCCTGTAGGGATCAGTCGCACTTAATTACGAAAGATCAGTCAATCACGCACTTTCTAGACAGATCTTTCTCTCATGCTACTCCTTTTATCTTCATCTATGCAGGTGACCAGTACTTCAAGGAATAAATAACCGTACATTTATGTACAGGTACACCGGGTGTGTGCACCATGAATCCTTTCAGCAATGAAAGCATACGGAATTTTGTGTTCCTGATCATATCAGACTATTAACTCTGTTATCCTTCGAGCATGTTTATACAGCAGTCTATGCTTGAGGAAAGCACTGGTGCCAGTCCCTGCTTTATGCCACCTCTGCTATGTAGGCAGATTTGTCTGTAGCAGTGGGTGTTGTGTGTTCTGACTTTGGCATGAGAGCTGCTGGGTGCCTGTTCTGTCTGCCATGTTTCAGCCAAAGCAAATGTATTTGCATTTGTCTTCCACATTTGACTTTATCCTCAACACTGGAGTTGGAATGGACCTGGTTATGATCATAGCATTTCTTACAACATCAAATAATGTATACTGTTACTTTGCACTCAGCTTTCTGGCCAAATAATTTTTATTAAACAATAGCTTTGCCCAACAGTTTACTAATGCTATGTAGTGTTGCAGTCCCAAGCTTTCAGGAGAAAAATGTGGAAAACTAGGATTGGGTTGAACCATAAGTCCTCCTTCTGATGCATCAAATGCATGGGTTAAAAAAAAGAATGATGGATAATATTTTTTATCCAGTTGTGAATATACAGACTGCACCCCATTCAACTACTTACGTAACAGAACATGCTAATTCTTTCTAAGATGGTGAGGAACATGACCTCAGAGTTCTAATTTGTGTTCTGGATACAAAACAGGCAAATTTGTACATCTGAGAACATAATGAATACATTCCGTTGTGTACTTCAGGGACAGTTGTTTACTTGGCATGCAGCGATCATGAGATGGTCGAATTTGAGATCCTCAGGACAGTGAGAAGAGCGTGCAGCAAGCTCACTGCCCTAGACTTCAAGGGAGCAGACTTTGGCCTCTTCAGGAACCTGCTTAGTACAGTTCCATGGGATATAGCCCTAGAGGGCAGGGGGTCCCAAGACTCTTGGTTGATATTCAAGGATCACCTGCTGCAAGCTCAGGAGCGTTGCATCCCAACTAGAAGGAAGTGCAGCAGGAGGGCCAGGAGACCTTCTTGGATGGATAAGGAGCTGAGGAGGAAACTTGGAAGAAAAAAAGAGGCTTATAAAAGGTGGAAGCAAGGACAGGCGGCCTGGCAAGAATACAGGGATGTTGTTTAGGAAGCTAGGGACCAGGTTAGGAAGGCTAAGGTCCAGATAGAATTAAACTTGGCTAGGGATGTGAAAGATAATGGGATTTTATAGGTACGTATCAAATAAAAAACAGACTACAGACAAGGCAGGCCCCCTTAGGAAGCTCTCGGGAGAACTAGCTACACAGGATTTGGAGAAGGCTGAGGTTCTAAATGACTTCTTTGCCTTCGTCTTCACTGGCAAAGGCTCTGACCACACCACCCAAGTCTTGGAAGGCAGATGCAGGGACTGTGAGAATGAAGACCTTGGGCCCACTGTAGGAGAGGAATTGGTTCGAGACCATCTTAAAAATCTGAACGTGCACAAGTCCATGGGTCCTGATGAAATCCATCCGCGGGTCCTGAAGGAGCTGGCAAATGAATAAGCCACTGGCCATCATATCTGAAAAATCATGGCAGTCAGGTGAAATTCCCGATGACTGGAAAAAGGGGAATATAACCCCCATTTTCCAGAAGGGGAAAATGGATGACCCAGGGAATTACAGACCAGTCTGTCTCACCTCTGTGCCTGGCAAAATCTTGGAGCAGATTCTCGTGGAAGGCATGCTAAGGCACATGAAAAACAACAAGGTGCTTGGTGACAGCCAGCATGGCTTCACCAAGGGGAAATCCTGCCTGATCAATTTGGTGGCCTTCTGTGATGGGGCTACAGAACTGATGGACCGCGGTAGAGCAGTTAGTGTCGTCTACCTGGACTTGTGTAAAGTGTTCGACACTGTCCCACACAACATCCTTATCTCTAAATTGGAGAGACGTCAATTTGATGAATGGACCACTCCGGGGATAAAGAACTGGCTGGATGGCCGCACACAAAGAGTTGCGGTCAATGGCTCAGTGTCCAGCTGGAGACCAGTAATGAGTGGTGTCCCTCAGGGATCGGTGTTGGGACTGGTCTTGTTTAACGTCTTCGTCACTGACATGGACAGTGGGATTGAGTGCGCCCTCAGCAAGTTTGCCGATGACACCAAACTCTGTGGTTCGGTTGATACGCTGGAGGGAAGGAATGCCATCCAGAGGGACCTTGACATGCTTGTGAGGTGGGCTGATGCCAACCTCATGAAGTTTAATCATGCCAAGTGCAAGGTCCTACACCTGGGTCGGAGCAATCCCAGACACAGCTACAGGTTGGGCAGAGAAGAGATTCAGAGCAGCCCTGCAGAGAAGGACTTGGGGGTGTTGGTCGATGAGAAAATAAACATGAGCCAGCAGTGTGCGCTTGCAGCCCAGAAAGCCAACCGTATCCTGGGCTGCATCCCAAGGAATGTGACCAGCAGGTCGAAGGAGTTGATCCTGCCCCTCTACTCTGCTCTCCTGAGACCTCACCTGGAGTATTGTGTACAGTTCTGGTGTCCTCAACATAAAAAGGACATGGATCTGTTGGAACAAGTACAGAGGAGGGCCATGAGGATGATCAGGGAACTGGAGCACCTCCCATATGAAGATCGGCTGAGAAAGTTGGGGCTGTTCAGCCTGGAGAAGAGAAGGCTGTGTGGAGACCTCATAGCAGCCTTCCGGTATCTGAAGGGGGCCTATAGGGATGATGGGGATGGACTCTTCATTAGGGACTGTAATGCAAGAACAAGGGGTAATGGGTTCAAACTCAAACAGGGGAAGTTTAGATTGGATATAAGGAGGAAATTCTTTCCTGTTAGGGTGGTGAGGCACTGGAATAGGTTGTCCAGGGAGGTTGTGAATGCTCCATCCCTGGCAGTGTTCATGGCCAGGTTGGACGAAGGCTTGGGTGACATGGTTTAGAGTGAGGTGTCCCTGCCCATGGCAGGGGAGTTGGAACTTGATAATCTTAAGATCCTTTCCAACCCTAACCATTCTATTTTTCTATGACAAAATAAAGCTGCTGGATCTCATTTTTATTTCAGTACTTCATATGCTACCAGTATTTCAAAAAGGAAGGGTTCACCTGTCAGTTGTTGAGAATATGCAATACAGTATGTATGGAGTAAAGGGGTTCTACATACTGGCAAATTATCAACTTCTGAAATGCTTGCTGTAATAAAATTTCTAAATGAAAACTGTTCTTCACAGATTGGAGGAGTGGTAATGAGATATGTCATATCTTATTTGCTGAGTAGTCTAATCACATTTGTCAGTGTGGGGTCGTGAAGCAGTACCTTATCATAGTAAGCAAAAGAGGCCAGGGCTTCGTATTGCTCTGGAAACCTTAACTCTAATCCTCGGTTTTTGTAAACTTTGAAATCTCAGATGTAATGCCGTATTAGTAAAGAGTTGTACATTGAATATAATGTATCAGTTGTTTTATGCCAAGGGTGAATGTTACAAAATTTTAAAACCTTGGACACTGAAGCTGCACAGCAGCAGTCTGTGAATGGTGGTAGTTTTTGTGGTCTGGATGTCTGCCCACTGGAAAATCAGCTTAAATTTCATCTGCAGCAGCTTCTACTCTAGGTCATGAGAAGTCATTCTAGGCTTTGCTCTGTCTCTGTGTTAACTATTATGCACTTATTGTAATTGGAAGCCATCTGAAAAGCTAACAGGGAAATCTGAGTTAACTACCTGAACAAGGAGCTCAGTACTTAACATATTTGATAAAGTAGTAAAATCCTTGGTATTTATAAGCAGCTAACATAAGTAAGAAAAATGTGTTCCCTAATTGGTTTTCTCACCCTTGATCTATGCTTTTACCACGTTATTATACCCAATGATATTTAAGATACAAACTGAAATGTAGGATAGTCAATTGGAGCAGCTTTAAAAAGAATCACAACTAAGAAAATAAAAGAACTTGAAAATTGATGGTTATTCATTCATTTGCATTATTTACAGCTGAAGGAAGCTAACTTGA